GTTCCATGTGTCTTCCTTGGCTTTGTCCCTTACGCGCCTGGTTGGCAGTTTTACCACCCCACCTCCCGCCGTGTCTTGCCCTCTCAGGACGTCACGTTCGACGAGTCGGTTCCCTTTTACCGTCTCTTCCCCTACCGCACTGCCCCTCTCCCCCCCCCCCCGCCGCTCTTCCTCGCTCCAGGTGCTCCCCAGGTAGACCCCCTCCCCACTCTCGGTCCTGCTCCTTTAGGTGTGTCTCAGGTAGACCCTCCTCTCTTGCCTGCGCCAGTTGAGGTCACTGGTGACTCAGGTCGTGCTGAGGGTGGTCCTGCTCGGGATGCTGCTACTGGGGGTGCTGAGCCTCGGGGTGCGGAGCCTGGGGGTGCTGAGCCTAGGGGTGTTGAGCCTGGGAGTGCGGAGCCTGGAGGTGCGGAGCTTGGGGGTGCGGAGACTTGGGGTGCTGAGTCTGGGCGTGAGGAGTCTCGGGGTGCTAAGCCTGGGGGTACTGAGTCTGGGGGTGCTGCACCTGGGAGCGCTGAGGCGTCTGGTGAGCAGTCTCCCTGGGGTAGCCGTCTCCGTAGTCGCTCCGTTGGTACCTCGCCGCTGCACTCTCATCGTCGACTCCCTCTCTCCCCACAGCAGCTGCGTGAGTGGTACGTTGGCCGTCAGGGTCGCGCTGCTAGAGCTAGGGGCCCTGCTGCGAGAGGCGCTGGAGCTGGTGACTCTGCTACTGGAGTTGTTTCTGCTGGAGGTTCTGGAGCTGCTGAAGGTGCTGGAGCTGGAGGTTCTGGAGCTGCTGTGGGTGCTGGTGCTAGAGGTTCTAGAGCTGGAGGTTCTGGAGTTGCTGAGGGTACTGGCGCTGGAGGTCCTGGAGCTGCTGCGGGTGCTGGCACGGAGGGTTTTGAGTCTGCAATTGCGCGGTCTCCTTGGAGTAGCCGCCTTTGTCCGCGTGCACCTCTCACCTCTCAGCAGCTGCACGACTGGTACGGTCGCCGTCAGGGTCGCGCTTCTGGAGCTCGGCGCTCTGCCGTTGGAGGTTCTTCTGCTGCCGTCATTGGAGCTGGGAGTGGTGTTGGTCCCGGAGGTGCTCGTACTGGAGGTACTGGAGCTGCTGGGGCTGGAGGTGTTGAGCCTGACGGTGCTACTGCTTGATACCCTGGATCTGGGGGTGCTGCTGCTAGTGACACTGAGGCTAGGGACCGTGGGACTGGAGGTGTTGGTTCAAAGGGTGCTGCTACTGGTGGAGCTGGTCCTGGAGGAGCTCGCGCTAAGGGGTCTGGTGCTGCTGGAGGTGCTGGAGCTGCTAGGGGTGCTGGAGCTGCTGGTGCTGGTGGTAATGCACAGCCGCGCTTGTTCTTTGCTCCGCCGTCTCCGTCGTCTTAGCCACCGTCTGACTCTGTACTTCGCGAGGTTCTTAGTCTCCCTTCGTCTACTGGTCTTCCGTTACAGCTTGGCTCACCGCTGCCTGCTCCTTCTCCTTACACTAAGCAGTCAAAGGGTCTTACTGAGCGTCGTGAGCCTGCGTCGCGTCCTGTCTCGCCTGTCCGTTCTGGTCGTTTCGGTCGTCGTGTTCCTCGTTCGCGTCAGCCGGTTGTCCCCGGCACCCACCTCGTAGCTCGTCGTCCTTCCTCTCCTCCGCTGTGTGTTCCCCTGCCGCCCCCTCCTGTCTCTTCTCTGCCTACCGTTCCTGAGCCTGAGTTTGACCGCGTTCGTGCTGCTAGCCCTACTGTCACACGTCTGCTAGCCACAGTTGTGAGTGACCCGTCGTGTGAGTCTGCTGCTGCGTCTGCCTTAGTCGCTGAACTTGTTGACTTTGCTGTTGCCTGTCGTCTAGACTACGCCGCTAGTCTTGTTGCTAAGTCTGAGTATTTCTGTCCTCCGTCCATTGGGCGTGACTGTGCTCTTGGCACGGACGTCCTTGAGGATAGGCAGGAGGAGTTTGAGTGCTTTGCCGCCGCTGTACCTCATCTCGTGTCCATGCTGATTGCACCTGAGGGAGACCCGGATGCACCAGACATCCCGACCCCGCGCTCTTACGCTAAGGCGATCGCGGGTGAGTACTCCTCTCAGTGGCAATCAGCCATGGACGTAGAGATGGCATCCTGGAAGTCGAGTGGCACTTACGTCGACGAGGTTCCCCCTCCTGGGGCGAACATCGTCAGTGGCATGTGGATTTTCAGGGTGAAGCGGCCGCCGGGTTCTCCGCCTCTCTTCAAGCCTCGTTACGTTGCTCGAGGCTTCAGTCAGCGAGAGGGAGTAGACTTCTTCCATACCTTCTCCCCCACCCCGAAGATGACCACTCTTCGGGTGCTACTGCACGTTGCCGCTCAGCGTGACTACGAGCTTCACTCTCTTGACTTCAGCACAGCTTTCTTGCAGGGCAGCCTGCACGAGGAAAACTGGCTGTCCCGCCCACCTGGCTTCACTAGGTTGTTCCCTCCTGGTACCCAGTGGAGCCTCCGGCGGCCGGTCTACGGTCTCCGCCAGGCGCCACGTGAGTGGCACGACACACTGAGGACTACGTTTGTGGCTCTTGGGTTCGCGCCTTCTACTGCTGACCCGTCGCTGTTTCTGGGCACCGACACTTCGCGGCCGCCGTTCTACATCCTCGTGTACGTCGACGACTTGGTCTTTGCCACTGCGGACATTGAGGCTCTCGCCCTGGTGAAGTCGGACCTGTAGAAGAGACACACGTGCACAAACCTGGGTGAGCTGCGCAGTTACCTTGGCTTGCAGATCACCCGGGACAGAGCACGCCGCACCATCACACTGACTCAGTCATTCATGGTGCAGCAGGTCCTTCAGCGCTTCGGCTTCACCTGGTCCTCGCCACACCATACTCCTCTGGCTACAGGTCACTCGCTCTCAGCTCTACCTTCGAACGAGTCCGTAGAGCCGAGTGGTCCTTACCCAGAGCTAGTGGGTTGCCTCATGTACCTGATGACCTGCACTCGTCCTGACCTTGCGTACCCTCTTGGCCTTCTCGCTCGCTACGTGGCTCCTGGTAGGCACCGACCGGTGCACATGGATGCTGCTAAGAGGGTACTGTGCTACTTGTGCAGTACGTCGGGCATGGGGCTCGTGCTTGGAGGGCGGAGCCCAGTTGTCCTCGCTGGGCACTCGGACGCTTCTTGGGTTGAAGACCTGGCTACACAGCGGTCGTCACAGGGTTACACCTTCAGCCTTGGCTCTGGCTCTGTTTCTTGGCGGTCTATACGCTCGTCTTCTGTTCTCGGCTCAAGTTGCGAGGCTGAGATCTACGCCACAGCCATGGCTGCACAGGAGCTAGGCTGGCTCACCTACCTCCAGACCAATCTGGGAGAGCGACCTCGTTCTCCTCCAGTGCTGTACGTAGACAACAAGGCCGCCATTGCCTTGTGTCAGGAGCACAGACTGGAGCACAAAACGAAGCACATCGTTCTGCGTTACTTCCTCACTCGAGAGTTGCAGCAGCGAGGTTAGCTTCGTTTTGCTCACGTGGCCACTCGGGCCAACACTTTTGATATATTCACCAAGGCACTTCCGTCTGGTGATCATCAGCGTTTCTGTACTTCGTGAGGCCTGATGTCTACGTTTCCTCACTTGCTGTAGACCTTGTTTGTACTGTGATCTATATATATACGTGCTTGCTTGCTTTGCTAGGTAGAGATCACTGTGTTGCTGTTGTTGCATATATAATGCTTGTGAACTGGCCTTGTGGCCCTTTGCTTGTGCTCAGTGTGTGTGGTGACGTGATCCACCCTAAGCTTGCTTTGCTTCTCTTAACTGGTCTTGTAACCCCTTGCTCTCCCCCACTTTGCCTATGGGGGTGTGTCAAACTATGATAATGCTTGTGTTGCGTAGGCTGTAGTGGGGTAGCCCATAAGGGGTAAAACCCAAATTAGGGTTCGCATATGTACCTACATCTCTATTCAATGCACTCATTCCTGCTGCTAGATTCTAACAGCTACGCTGTCATGATGTCACTGTGTGGTGTCATGATGACTGCCGGCTGGCCAAGGTGTTATGAAGAATGTCAGGGCGGTCAGAGAAGAGCATGTCACACCCCATGGCCATGCACTCCTCCTGCAAGGGCATGGGAATGATATGGTACGATATGGTACAGTATTAATAGTGAATGCTGGTTGCTGAGAGTGGTAACAAACCAAGCGCGAGTGTCAGGGCAGTCAGAGAAGAGCATGTCACATCCCATGGCCATGCAGTCCTCCTGCAGGAGCATATCACATGGCCATGGTACAGAATGATAGGGGGTGGTGGTGGGCCTTGAGAGCTCAGATAATTCAACTGAGAATGTCAGGGCAGTCAGGGAAGAGCATATCACACCCTATGGGCATGCAGTCCTCCTGGAAGGGCATGTCACATGGGCGTGGTACAGAGGTATAAAACGCAGTGGTGGTGGTTATTGATAGCTCAAACAGACCAAGTGAAAATGTATGGCAGGTCAGAGAAGAGATTGTCTGCACAAGTGAAATAAGCAGGCCTTGGCCGATCTGCACAAGTGAATCAACACAGCATCACTTCCTGATTAATCAGGTTTGTACACTCAAGTTCCAACAGGCAAAGCGGTGACAAACCGCTTCAACTTACCAGGGCGGAACGAGTGGTGGGTAAGTGAAGTGTGGACGGTGAAATGGATGGTCAGGGCGTGATGTGCCGGCGACCAGCACATCACGCCCACTACGGCGTGGTGGTAAGAGGCGAGAGGAGCCCCCCGTATTCAAGTCCCCTTCGCCTCACCTGCCCTTCTCATCCCCCACCTCCCCTTCGCCTCACCTGCCCTTCTCATCCCCCACCTCCCCTTCGCCTCACCTGCCCTTCTCATCCCCCACCTCCCCTTCGCCTCACCTGACCCTCCCACGCCTCACCTGCCCCTCTTTGTGGTCAAGGTAATCCCCAAACACCGACACCCACCGCTGCACTGGTGCACGAGGTAATCCCCAAACAGGCCAACCCCCCTCACCACCCCCATCCCTCGCTTCCACTCCCCACCTCCCCCATGCCCCACCTGCCCCACGCCTCACCTGCCCCTCCCTGTGGTCGAGGTAATCCCCAAACACCGACACCCACCGCTGCATTGGTTGACGGGTTAGGAAGGAAGAGAGCGAGAGTGAGGGAGAGAAAAGGGGAGGGGTCGTAAGGCAGGAAAGGAAGAAAATTGCGGGAGCAAAAAGGAGGAGAGGTGAGATGTTCTCAGGAGAATCATGGGAAAGGCTATGTCGAAATAAGGTGAAAAGAAAAAGGTGCCGACACATATATACACCCTGCTGATGAAAGTCTGAAACAACTTGATGCAGGTATCCCTTTTATAACCTCTTCAAAGAAACTAACCCTTTGGACAACTCTCAAACTAGTTCTCAATAAGGGGTTCCTAATTGCATTCTCAACAGATTTCCTAATGGCACTCTCACAAGTGACTCGACGTACCCCTCGTCGATGGAAGGCTGCAACAAAGTCACGGTTGAGAACCTGAGAGAGTGAGGGCGAAGGGGAAGGAGCAGAGCACAGGAGGCTTTAGATCTTTGAGACGTCTCAAATTCGTCGATGGAAGGCTGCAACCAAGTCACGGTTGAGAACCTGAGAGAGTGAGGGCCGAAAGGAAGGAGTGGGGTATGTGCGTGGGGTGGGGCATGCGAGTGGGGCATGTGAGTGGGGCATGTGAGTGGGGCATGTGAGTGGGGCATGCGGGTGGGGCATGCGAGTGGGGCATGTGAGTGGGGCATGCGAGTGGGGCATGCGAGTGGGGCATGTGACGTGAGTCGTTGAGGGGTTGCAACCCACGTCATGGCAATGGTTGGCAGTCAGGAGCTAAGGCAGCAGACCGATCCTGAGGAGCAGTTGAGGATGCGAAACTGATAAGCAAGGGTGAGGAGAGGATGATTGAGTAAGTGAGGCCGTTACCTTGTAACCCCATCTGTATGCTGTCGTTCCCACAATCTCATGACGCATGGGAATAAGCCAAAGAATGCCGACCAGGTAGCAGATGTACCTGGGAGGGAGAAAGGAGAGAAAGTGGTGATAAATAAACGCAGGAAGGAAATAGCGATAAGTGCTAAGTGTGTACATGGCAAAGCATGCATGCATGCTAAGTGTGTACATGGCAAAGCATGCATGCATGCTAAGTGTGTACATGGCAAAGCATGCATGCATGCTAAGTGTGTACATGGCAAAGCATGCATGCATGCTAAGTGTGTACATGGCTAATAAGATGGAGCTCGAAGGCACGAGATGGCTAAGTGTGTACACGCAGGGGTCAGCTCGAAGGCACGAGATGGAGCGGGAAAGAATTACTCCTGCGTGTACAAGAAGAACCAAGTCCACTTCTGAGGCGCCTCAAAGTATTACACCTGTGTTTACAAAAAGAACCAAGTTTCTGGATACGACGAAAAGTCCCCAGTTTCAAGAGAGACACTTACATAAGTATCATGGAGTTGATGTCTGGTGTGGCAGGCACGCATGTAGGCTTCAGCCTGAGCACCTGAGGAGGAGGGGATTAAGGAACGAGTAAGTTACAGGGAAGAATAGCATGTTGTGGTAAGATGTGATGTCACCCATAGGGGCAAATGTTTGTACGCTCCTCTCTGAGTCGTGTTTTGAGTCAACTCAATACAGGGAATAGCATGTTGTGGTAAGATGTGATGTAACCCATAGGGGCAAATGTTTGAACGTCCATGATGATCAGCGCACCTCTCTGTTTGCTTCTAGAGGCACTGCGCCAATGATGATTCGCACATTCACATGAATGTATTTACACATGCACATGAATACCACATGAGAGCACATGCAAATGCATACCTCGTAGCACATGCAAATGCATACCTCGTAGCACATGCAAATGCATACCTCATAGCACATGCAAATGCATACCTCGTAGCACATGCAAATGCATACCTCGTAGCACATGCAAATGCATACCTCGTAGCAAATGCCTGAACGCACCTCTCTGTTTGCTTCTGGAGGCCCGGTTTCCAACATGATGCGCTGCTGCACATGCATACCTCATGGGAGCACATGCATACCTCATGGGAGCACATGCATACCTCATGGGAGCACATGCATACCTCATGGAAGCACATGCAATGCATGTGATGCACTGCACACATGCACATGCAAACCTCATGGGAGCACATGCCTGAACGCACCTCTCTGTTTGCTTCTGGAGGCACGGCTCCCATCATGATGCGCTGCTCTAGATTGAACTCGCGAACCATCTAACTCACATGCACATGTGAGGAGATGCAGATGTGAGGAGATGCACATGTGATGAGATGCAGATGTGAGGAGATGCAGATGTGAGGAGATGCAGATGTGAGGAGATGCAGATGTGAGGAGATGCACATGTGATGAGATGCAGATGTGATGAGATGCACATGTGAGGAGATGCACATGTGAGGAGATGCACATGTGAGGAGATGCAGATGTGAGGAGATGCAGATGTGAGGAGATGCAGATGTGAGGAGATGCAGATGTGAGGAGATGCAGATGTGAGGAGTTGCAGATGTGAGGAGATGCAGATGTGAGGAGATGCAGATGTATCAATCAAGATGATTTGAGCACGGAAAGCAGCCATGGAAAGATGCAGGGCGAAGGCTTGAGAAGGGTCTCAAACCTAGAGAATAAAAAGCATCGCCTCGAGGGGGAGAAAAGAAGAACACGAGAAGCATGTGGAGTGGAGACATGACTTGACTTGGAAAGGAAACAAAGGGTGCAGGAACAAAGGGTGCAGGAACAAAGGGTGCAGGAACAAAGGGTGCAGGAACAAAGGGTGCAGGAACAAAGGGTGCAGGAACAAAGGGTGCAGGAACAAAGGGTGCAGGAACAAAGGGTGCAGGAACAAAGGGTGCAGGAACAAAGGGTGCAGGAACAAAGGGTGCAGGAACAAAGGGTGCAGGAACAAAGGGTGCAGGAACAAAGGGTGCAGGAACAAAGGGTGCAGGAACAAAGGGTGCAGGAACAAAGGGTCTACCCTCAAGGGTGCCACTCTCATAGGAAGGGTCACAAAGTGCTGCCTCAGGCACGCATCGCAGCAACAGCTACACGTGGAAGGGAGGGCCATGAAGGGACCACAGAGCATCACCTGAAGCGTGGGCGCAACAGCTCTGGGTGACTTGAAGTCGAGGTAAAAGACCAGGTCGCTGTAGCATGCGAACTCGTCAAACACCTGGCAGGGGAGGTGTGAGTGTGCAGAGAGGAGGGCAGGGGAGGGAGGGAGATGGGGGAAGGGAGAGAGAGTATTGAGATGACTCAGACGTTGACTTGAAGTCGAGGTAAAAGACCAGGTCCCTGTAGCATGCGAACTCGTCAAACATCTGGCAGGGAAGTGAGGGGGGAAGAGAGTGGAGAGAGGGGGTAGGGAGGAAGACATTAGTTTAGAGTCGACTCAAAAGGTGACTTGAAGTGAAGGTAGATGACAACGTCACCTACCTCTCGTAGCGAGTTTTGAGTCGACTCAAAACTCAGATGACAACGTCACCTACCTCTCGTAGAGTGCAAACTCGACAAACATCTGGCACAAAGGTGTGGTGTGGGTGAGGTGTGAGGGGGGATGGTGGTGGTGGTCGAGTTGAGGGGATGGCAGCGGGTGACTGATATTTCTCGAATGTATTTTGTCGAGTGTCAGCACTTGAAAACAACGAGCGAGAGCTCCCATGTGAAGGATCCATTACGTTAATCCATCTGTAAGTGTCAGGAATTTGCAATGTTAGGTCCAAGAGTGTAGATATTTCCACCCTTACCTCTCTAAGTGTTGGTATTTGCAGTCGCTTCCCTCTGTGAGGAAATGTTTTGCCGCCATCTCGGGTGAAATGATACCCAGCATCCAATGACCTGCAGCCACGTGGCACAGAGGATATGTGAATGTCTTTCGCACAGGCATCTAACAGTGCAAGGGTAAATCAGAAGCAGCACCGAGTGGCATAATCACGAGAATGGCGTCACCTTGTTCTGATGTACACTGAACCGCCATTCACCAATGCACACCTCCATCCACCTGAGTCACTTCACCTAGTTCCTCATCCGCTGGAAACATCACCAGATTTGTGTTGTCGGAAACATCACCTGAGCTCTCACCTGACCTGGGCTCCCTCCTGAATTCTCACCTGACCTCTCACCTGAATTCTCACCTGACCTCTCTGAATTCTCACCTGACCTCTCACCTGAATTCTCACCTGACCTCTCTGAATTCTCACCTGACCTCTCTGAATTCTCACCTGACCTCTCTGAATTCTCACCTGACCTCTCATCTGCCCTCACCTGACCTCTCACCTTCCCTCACCTGAGCTCCTCCAAAGTGTAGCTCTCCACAAGCCCGCTGCCGTCTGTTGTGTCGTCCACTGTCACATTGTGAATCAGCACCTGCCAGTCAGTCAAACCAGGTCAACCGGCCTGAAACTTTGAGTTGTCTCGTTGTTCTTTTCTTCCACGGTCATAAAGTGAACCAACCTCTGCCGCCAACCAAGTCAACAGAATCGACCGAATTCACTCAAATATTGTGTTCAGTCAAACCCCCTCTTCAGTCAAGCCTCTCGACTGTTGCTTTGCACATTCGAAAGCATGTGCAGCAGCAGCAGCAGCAGCAGCAGCAGCAGCAGCAGCAGCAGCAGCAGCAGCAGAACAGGCGCAAGTACAAGCAAAGGCGTCTCACCAGCTGCTGGTCCCTGGTCAATTGCACATCCACTTCCAGTAGTTGTGTGCGCAGCAGTGGAGCGTTAGGAGCATCGGATGCATGAGGAGCACCAGCCTTGGTAGAGTCTACATGGGCATCACGAGCAGCAATAGCACCCTCTCCCCCATCAGAGGCTCCATCACTGTCTCTGCCACTGCCGGCACTGCCTGCTGCCCTGCTGCCCTCCACATCAGCACTGCCGTCCACATCAGCACTGCTGCCGTCCACATCAGCACTGCGGCCGCCCACATCAGCAGTGCTGTTACTGGCTGCGATGGTAGCTGCACTCTCAGGAGAAGTATTTCCAGCAGCGTCAACGCCAACAGCGCTGCGATATGCCAGCATGGTGTTCTCAGGCCATGCGCGCGCACCACCCCTGGGAAGGCCGAGATGCATGCAAAGGAGAGAGACGGAAAACACAAATAAAAAAGTGTGATGGTTGCTGCACTGCCAGCAGCGCTGCGATATGCCAGCATGGTGTTCTCAGGCCATGCGCGCGCACCACCCGTGGGAGGGGAGAGATGAAGGCCAGGGAGAGAAACGAAAAACATGAGTAAGTGTGATGTTTGGTGCACTGATAGCAGCATCAACCCCAGAAGCATCAACGCCAGAAGCATCAACGCCAGAAGCATCAACGCCAGCAGCATCAACGCCAGAAGCATCAACGCCAGAAGCATCAACGCCAGCAGCATCAACGCCAGAAGCATCAACGCCAGCAGCATCAACGCCAGCAGCATCAACGCCAGCAGCATCAACGCCAGCAGCGCGGAGAGATGTCAGAAGAAGCCGTTGTTCATTATATGGAGCACACGTGCGGAATGGATCAGTCCGTAGACTGGAGAGATCTATTCCTACAACGGCTCGCACTCACTGCTGCTGAACTCCATGCTTTTGACCGTAATACGAGAAAGATATAGTAGCTATATCTGTAGCTAGATGTTCACAAGTTCAAGGTATCAAAGTAACCAGTTAACGTACCTATGGCTGGCGTGGACTGGGCGGCGTTTAAGAAGCAGCGCTACGACGGGGTGCGTATCGGGTCCGAACGGCACGTCGCGTCTCAGGAACCTCTCGTATAGCGGCTTCAATACAAGATAAAACGTGGCGGCTGCTGCTGCTGTGCCGCCGACAACGAGAACAGCTGTCGACGGCCCGGTAGCGGCACCGGCGCTGGCGGAGGTACCGGAAGCTGCCATCGATGGTTTGCGCGGCAGCTCGTCAGGCACAAACAAGGAAACGATTCTTCGAGAATCGTTGAGTCTACTCAGAAATCACCGACGCTGGTGGAGATATTAAAAGCTGTCACTGTTTCTTTTTCTCCGATGCTCGTCAGGAAAAAGCGACGAGACGCCACGCTGAATAGGACCGTCCAGACCTACTATGAGGATTATCTGTTCTCCGTTCGCCGCTCCGCGTTACGCGAACTGCCACTCTGAGTCAACCATTGCAAAAAACGGAAAGGCACTTTTGCGACTTCGACTCCAAGACGCGAGGCGAGTCAGACTCCAACGAGAGATATAAGCTACAAGCTCAAGAAGAAAACCTTGTTCTACAATCACCACGCTGTCAGATTCTGGTTAGAGGCAGATTCTCCTGCCAGGCATGGAGGCTAAATGTCTATTAGTTTTATACGTGGTTACTACCCTCTGACAGCTCTTGGGAATATTCTGTCGAGGTGGCCCTTTGGATAATCGTGGACCCCAAAAGCCGCGTCGCTTTGCGTCAAACTTTTTTTTTTTTTTTTTGGAGGTGAAATCACATTATACAATGCAAAAAACACCATCCAGCGGTCGTAACCGGGCTAGAGGGCCTAGGTATAGCATACCGTACCCTCGCGGAAGCCTTTACGGTGGTTTATAAACAAGGTGCCTAAAAATTGCAAACTGCCCGTTATGAAAACCCTTAGCGCCGTTGGCACACTTCAACGCTCGTAGAAGCATCTTGATCTTGATACATTCCCCGCACTGCACTTGTTGCTTCGGTTTTGGTAGACTACCACCGAACCTGCCTTGCCCAAAGTTGTAGGCCCGGGAGACTTCAATGTTACAGTGCTTGATGCGATGAAGCTCAAGGTGCTGAATGGGAGAGGGGATGCTTGCTTTGGTTGTCACTTTGGTGCAAATGTGGCAAGAGTCGGTTCCAATGGAAGTTATGATCAGACGTCTGTGGTGACACAAGTTGGCTGGAATTTCTCCTCCCAGTTCTCTATGCGAATTCTGATGAAGTGTTGCAGCAGCAGCTATCTCAGATCTGACATTCTCTTCCTGAAAGAACATGCCTTGACGAGAAAAGTTAACCCCCACTGACGGGAACTCTTGAGAATCTTCTATCTGCAGATGCGCGTCTTGTTGCTTATTAGTAGTAACACCAACGTCAGCCATGTTTGCATGAGTGTCAGAGTCAGCATTATTGTCAGCGTTGTCACTGGCGCGAACTGTTTCAAGCATGTGAATGGAAGATGCTGCAGGTTCTGCCAGTGTCACGGAGGTGTATCCTCTGAGGAAAAAATAAGAAAGAAGAATATGTGTAGAGAGCCGCAATGTATCCACGTCTTCTAAATGAGCGTGAAACTCTGGTAGTTTCCTGTCTGAATCTTCATGCTTGAATGTGTAAGGAAGAAAATCTTCTTCGTCGAACACTTGAGTAGCCAACGAATCAATGATCTTGAAATTTTCTTTAAGCAAAGGTTGTTGGTGTGGCTGTCGCTGAATGGCAGAGAACAAAGATAGACGGAAGATGTTCCGTTGATAAACTTGTTTGAATTTGAATCTTCGGTGCTGACTGTGACCAGCAATGCTTTCTCGACGCCGTCTTTGGTTGAGGCTTGAGATCCGTCCAGCCATTAGTATGCTCTTCATCGGAACAGCTTTAGCAATGTCTGAAGCTTGAAAGTTTTAACCTGGAAACACGGGAACTTTCAGAAGTGATTCGACGAAACCGATGTTCGCTGTGTGAACATATCTTGGTGTCGATAGTCAGCTTTGCGTCAAACTGAGCTTCCTGAGGTTCTTACGTTCTATAGCGGGAACAAAGAGTTCTAAAAACAGAATACAGCGAAACTGTTATGAGCTTTACTAGACAGAGTGCGCGGAAGACTTCTATAAAGAGAATGAATTACAGAATTACTGAATTATCAAGAATGATAAAGAAGCACGCTTTTATAGGGTCGAGACCGTGCTAGGCGAGGACCTCGGGACGTGGCTGATTTGGATGTGTCGCGATTGGTGCGGGGCGACTCGGCATTGGTTCGGTGCGGAAGTATAGGCCGAGCCACCTGACGCAAAGTGCTCGGGCTGTACCCGTTAAGGCAATGCTACAGTCAGGAATTGGCATATTCTGATTAGAGGCGGATTCTCCTGCCAGGCATGGAGGCTAAATGTCTATTAGTTTAATACATGGTTACTACCCTCTGACAGCTCTTGGGAATATTCTGTCGAGGTGGCCCTTTGGATAATCGTGGACCCAAATGCCGCGTCGCTTTGCGTCAAACTGAGCTTCCTGAGGTTCTTACGTTCTATAGCGGGAACAAAGAGTTCTAAAAACAAAATACAGCGAAACACTCTTAAAACAAGAAACCTGGTAACGATCAGAAGTCAATTTAAACTTCATCTGCATCCCATGTAGTGCATTTATTGCGTAGCGAACCATCCCCTTCACTACCTGCCCCATTATCTCCCACTTCTCTACTCGCGCATATTTCTTCAGTAAAGCTTGACCCATGTGGGTCATGCGCACCCGTGCAAGCCATTGGAGCATGAAGGAACACTGTAGCCTTGATGCACACAAGCTTATCGAGGATGGCCTGTAAGGGGCCAGCACGCAGCAACAAAGCAAGAACAAACAGGATAACGTATATGAAACGAGGTAAGCACAAACTGCAGATTCTTAGGATCGACAACACGGAGAACACAAGCATCTATGTAAAAACTGAATTAACAATATACTTGAAAAGTTAACACTTCAGTCACGTATTGTTCTTGAGGAATGTTCATACGGGACAGGGCGGAAAACCACGGGCGAAGGCGCGACCACATGCGTGAGCACACCGCATGCGAGCTGCCCGCGGACCGATAATTAAAAAAAAAAAAAAAAAACTAAAACCCTCTAGGAAAGGATGCCCTTTGGGAGGTATCAACCCTAAACACCTTGCCTCATGCCGACCCATAGGGTTTTATTTTCTTGCCCGCGGGCAGCTCGCTTCCGCCAGCTTGCGCGGTTGATGGATCGATTTTCCATCAACGCCCGATAAGTTGGTGGGTTGGTGTATTGATGTTGCCGCCCCCCCGCAGGTACTGTGCAACACTATGAAATGCAAAGCCACTGTACTGTAAAGGGACATGCGATAACTAGGCCTCACCTGCACGCCTGTATCCAGCTGAGGGACAGAGGGGTCCGCAGCAGCCCACGTGATTGGTCGAAGTTCCTCATGTAGTAGCTGAACGCCAGTGAATTCAAGGAGGGGAAAGAGAGGAAAGGTGTACCAAGGTTGAGAAGGGAGGGGGGTTTGAGGCAACTCTAGAAACGGCCAGCAACAGCCCACATGAGTGGACAAAGCTCCTCTGGCTTTTGAGTCGACTTAAAAGCTGAGTGGACAACGCTCCTGTGGCAGCAGATGAATGACAGTGGGTTTGGGGAGACGGAAAGAAGCAAGCGGGCGGGGGAACGGGAGCAAGAGCGAGAGCCATCGCAACGGCGAGGTGCCATGCAGACAACAATGAGGGGAAAGCATGCTCCTGTAACGAGGTGCATTCATGAGCTCACCTGCACTGTTCTTAAAGCGACGTCCCTGTGCTCCTTGCTGAGAACAGTGAAGGAGTTGGACATCCACCTGACAGCATGAGATGGGGCAGGAGCAGAGGGAATGGGGGCGATGAGTCATTCAACGCTGCTCCATGTTTCTTGGTGCTCCTTGCTGAGTACAGTGAAGGAGTTGGACATCCACCTGATAGCATGGGGTGGGGTTGGGAATGGGAATGGGGATGGGGATGGGCATGGGGATGGGGATGGGCATGGGGATGGGAATGGGGATGGGGATGGGGATGGGGATGGGATGGGGGTGGGGATGGGGATGGGGAAAGGGATGGGGATGGGGATGGGGATGGGGATGGGGATGGGGATGGGGATGGGGATGGGGATGGGGATGGGGATGGGGATGGGAATGAGGATGGGGATGAGGATGGGGGTGGGGATGGGGATGGGGCAGAAGCAGAGGGAGTGGGGGCCATGAGCTGCCCTGTGCTCCATTCTGAGTACTCTGATGCAGCACAGGGAAGTGGTGCATGATCCATGCTCCATTTTGAGTACCCTGTACTCTGTGGGCAAAGAATGGAGCTGGACCTGTGCATGCTCCATGTGACGGCATGGGCAAAGAAGCACTTCCGCACAGGAACACCCTTTCTGACGGCATGAAGTTGTCAGGACTGACTGGGAGTCAGGTCAGGTCCAATGCCAGAAACACCGGCTCTCATCAATCATATAAAGAAACACAACAAGCAGCCGCACACCTGTTGTCAGGAGTCAGGTCCGTGGCCAGAAACACCGCCACCTGCTACTACTTGAGGTGACTCTTGGGTCGACTCATAAGGCATGTGACGGTACAGCGCAAAGTCACACCCACCCACCCACCCACCTGTTGTCAGGAGTCAGGTCCGTGGCCAGAAACACCGCCACCTGCTGTTGCTCGCCACCCTCCTTCCCCTCCGCCCCACCTGCTCCTTCATTCTCCCTCCCCCCACTCCCCCCACTCACCCCCCCCACACGCGTGGCCCACCCCCTCACACTCTCCACGAGCCCTCGAGCGCACGCAGCCATCTGCTGCAGCCGCACTCCCGCCCGAAGAGCCTTCTCCAGCCGCCAGTGCGCCGCCACCACCACCACCCCCTCGCCCCCTCCCCCGCCGCCTCCCCCGCCGCCTTCCCCGCCGCCTCCCCCACCCCCTCCCCCTCCCCCTCCTCCATGCATTTGCCCCCTTTCCCCATTCTCTGCACTGTCCTCTTCTCCACCCCCTCCGCTCTCCCCACCTGCTTGCAGTTGGATGTGCTTCGTTATAAGGTGATCCGCTGCAAGGTGCAGGTGCGGCGGGTACACCAGGGACCGCCGGGCCTCGGACGCCAGCCGGCCTATCCGGGAAAGACACATCAGCGGCGACGCTTTGAACACCACTGCCACGTCAGCATTCTGATCAGGTTCGTCTTTCCCAAGAATAGACCCTTCCTTGCCTTTCTCCCCACCAATAACAGACCCTCCTCTCTCCTCTCCTCCCTTCCTCCTCTCCCCTTCCTTCCCATCTTCCCCTTCCTTCTCTCGTTTCCCCTCCTCCTCCATCCCCCCAACCTTGCCACCCGTTCTTCCCAATGCTACCATCGGCTCCTCCCCAGGCAGTACTGTAGCACCTCCGTCTCTTCCCAGCAGGTCCTCGGCGCCGGGCGGCTTGGCACGGCGTTTAGTGGTGCAGGTGCGGGTACAGAGGGCGGGGGAGAGGAGAGCGCGGTTGAGCAGGAGAGAGGAGTCGGAGCGGAGAGAGGCGTTGGGCTGGAGACCTGGGGTGTTGGTGTTGCGGCCAATCTTGGCATAAGATGCTCTCTACTGGAATGGAAGTAGAGGGAGGAAGATGGGGGAGAGGGGGGTCAGGAGGGGGATAAGGGGGGTCAGGAGGGGGATAAGGGGGGTCAGGAGGGGGATAAGGGGGGTCAGGAGGGGGATAAGGGGGGTCAGGAGGGGGATAAGGGGGGTCAGGAGGGGGATAAGGGGGTCAGGAAGGGGATAAGGGGGGTCAGGAGGGGGATAAGGGGGGTAAGGGAGGCATTGGCACGGAGGGAGGTGTTGGGCCGGAAGCCAGGGGTGTTGGTGTTGCGGCCGATCTTGGCATATGATGCTCTCTACTGGAATGGAAAGAGGGGATGGGAGGTGGAGGGTGGGAGAAAAGGGGGTGTGTGGGGGATGAAGGGGTAATTGAGGTGTTTGGATGGGTTGGGCTGGCTGGAGGCCAGGGGTGTTGGTGTTGCGGCCGATCTTGGCATAAGACGTTTTCTACTGGAATGGAAAGAGAGGGATCGGGTTGGGGGAGGGGGTTGGAGGGGAGGGGGAGTTATGGGAGGAAACAGCAGGAGGTGAGAGAGGAGAGGAAGAGAGGGAGAATGCGTTTCTTACTTTAACGCCTCCCCTCGTAGCTCACTGGATTGCACCCCCCAGAACCCCTCCACACCCACCACGTCACATGCCTTCAGCTTGCCACCCCCAGCACCAGCGCCACCACTCTCTCTTCGCTGATAGACCCTCAGAATCTAAAATCAACCGCATTGAACCTCTTAGCAATCCAGTATTCCCATCAGAGCCTCCCATTGCATTCCACCCCGCAGCACCGCATTACACCCACCACATCACACGCCTTCATCTTCCCATCCCCCAGCACCAGAGCCACCGCACTCCCTCTGCCTCTTCCTGCTGCCCGCCACGCCGGCACCACCTGCCCGTAAAAAAACTCCTCCGAGACCCACGGCACAAACTGCCCGAGCCTGCCCGGGTCGAAATAAGTGCAGAAGGGGAAGGCGTAATCTGCTACAGTGCCGATCCTGCTGTTCCCAACGGACGGCAGGATGAGGGTGCGGCCTGTGTGACGGGCCACAGATAACACCTCCCCCAGATGCAGCCGAGCCTTGCTGAGCTGCTCGTAGAGACGACCCACTGATATGAACTTGGCGGATAGTAATGAGGCTGCTTGTAGCGGGGATGGGGAAGGAGAAGGGGGAAGGAAGCGGGATGGGGGAAGGGGGGAGAGTGTGAAGGGGGAGAAGGGGGGAAAGGGGAGGGAAGCGGGATGGGGGAAGGGGGAAGAGTGGGAACGGGGAGAAGAGGGGAAGGGGGAGAACGATCAATAGCCAGGCAGGTGCTGGTAAAGGCGACCAGCTGATATGACCTTGGCGGATATTAGGAGGCTGCTTGTAGGGGGGAAGGGGAAAGCAGGGAGGGGAAGGGGAGGGGGAAGCTGGAGGGGACACGGGGGAAGGGGGAGAGGGGGAAGATGGGGGGGGGGGAGGGTGTTGGTTTCAGTAGGCGGGTGCTCGTACAGGCGACTCACTGATATGAACTTAGCGGGCAACAAAACGGAAGAAGGCGACGGAAAACACGGGGAGAAAAGAGGAGGGGAAGGCGGGTGGGAAATGGGTTGCGTGCTTGGGTGGCAGGGGAGCGAAGACTGTTGATTGATCGTGCTTGGGTGCTTTGCAAAAGAGCAAAGACCGTCGAGATCAGGCTGCTCGCGCAGGCAGGCGGGCAAAAGCGACGAACGCGGTGGAAAGATTCCTGAGATGCTGGGAGGGGGGACGATAAAGGAATGGCTGGGAGATGGGACGATAAAGGAATGGCTGGGAGGGGGGACGATAAAGGAATGGCTGGGAGGGGGGACGATAAAGGAATGGCTGGGAGGTGGGACGATAAAGGAATGACTGGGAGGTGCGCTCACAGGGATCGAAGCTATCAGAGTTGGGCGGGAGGAGAGGAATTTGCAGGTTCGCGGATAAAAGGAAATCAAAGAAAAGATTCGAGAGTGGACTCACAGGGATCGAAGCTATCCGAGTATGGACGAGACGCCATTTCCAGGGGACACGTGTATGAGAGCGACGAAGTTTCAGCGAAACTGACTCCGCCTGCTCTCTCGCCGCCTCCACCTGACTCCCTCGACCAATCAGCGCGCTGCGCTGCAACGAGCGGAAGCCTTACGTCGAAATGCGGTCCTATAACGAGGATGGCTGGGATCAGAATAACGGCGGCCTGAAGCCACTGCAGAATGGATCGGTGAAAAATGGCCATAACGAGTACTAGATTTCCCAGTGGCTCAAAGAGTTGGTACTAGATTCCGAAGCACAAGAGAGGTACGAGATTCCAGGAGATTCCAAGTGGTATTCGCTGGCTATCACTTCAATCTTTTCGCTCTCGAGCTACCATGACTCATGAGGCTTCCAGTCACCATCACCTATCATCCATCTCTCAAATCGAGAGGCTCGAAGCTGAAAGTGCCTCAGCATGAGCCGAGACAATCAGCCATCAGTCAGCTGATTCCTTGATCCGATGAGTCATGTGCGATTCTGTGCGATGCTTACAAGGGTCGCACAGTCGCACCCCAACATATTTGGCTGGTTTGAAGTGAGGTTTGCTTGAGGGCGTACTCTGTAAGTTCGAGAAGTTCTTCTAAAGGATGTTGCTGCAGGGTCCGGTCCGATCCGATGTCGTCAGGGCAGGGATTCGACAGCAAATGGGCTCCAAATACAGTATATTTTTTTCAAGAAACAGGTTTTTTCTGTAGAGTGAACAAATGACACTCTAATAGAAATTGAAGTGACGTATCGGTTACCAGATCTGACCGAACGACCTGAATACGATCTCTACTTTATGTATACGCCGATCCGCCTCTGCATGGGGCTATTCCAGAGAAAATACGAAGGCCCACAAGCAGGAGCATTCGGGAATGCCACCGAAGTAGCGTTCCCTTCCGCTTTTCGTCAGTTGGAATTTCCGACCCGCTTTGCGGTACGCGCCGAGCGCACGTTGACTGTCCTGCTCGGACTTTCGATAACTAACGCCAGTATTTACTAACACAGATATTTCAGTAGCCTCCCGACAATCACACGGGCATCAACTAGGGGTCCGCGCAGGCAACGCGTCGAAAGACTAGGGGTCCCGACGGATTCCGTCTTTCCGTGGTTATCGTGTTTCGTCAGCATTCACAGCCTTTGCATCGCTAACGACTCGTCGTTGCCAGGATCGGCTGGAGACGAGCGTTGCACGTAAACGAGTAGCAAAAGCAAAACGCGTATGGGCATGGCGGACGCGGGGGCGCTGCGGGAGCAGGCGAAGCAGCTGATAGAGCGGCGCGACAATCTCGAGGCTCAGATCGACGCGCTCGCCGCGAGACTGAACGCGCCTGGAGGAGGCGGAACCAACGAGAGCCTGGTGGATAAGGAGGTAGGGCGTGTGTAGTATTTCTTTCGTGGCGAGATTTGAGTCAACTCAGAAGTTACGAGAGTGAACGCGCCTGGCGGAGTCGGAATAGCGAGAGTGATTCTTGCAGTGTAGCAGACTTTAAGAATGTATTGGTGTGGTTCCGGAGAATGTAGGGCGAGTAAGAGTGTTGAGGCATCGCAATTCTGGAGCCTGAGGAAGTAGAGGCGAAGAGGTGGTGGGTCGTGTGGAGTTCTCGAGGCTCAGCGTAGATCGAGGCTCGGATTGAGTTTCGCATTGAGGCTCGGATGGAGGCTCGGACCGAGGCGACTGGGACGAGGCTGACGAGGTGAGATGAGGGTGAGGCTGGTGGATAAGGAAAGTGGGATGCGAGGCTGGCTGGCAGGAGATGAGGAGAGGATGGTAGGGGCGAGCAAGAGGCGAGGTCTGCTCGAGCGAGCAAGATGCGAGGCGTAAAGTGGAGTATTTGGCTCCAGGGATGACGGGAATCTGTCGTTCTTTTAGAATCGTCAAACTACGGTGACGACACCACGGTGCCAGGCTTGATGGGGACCTACGTTGCAAAGAGAAGCGCAAACGTTTCTTTGCTCGCAGGGGCTAGTGTGTGTCTTGTTGCAACAGCAGACGCAGTGTGTGTGGATTTGCAGGAAGCATCGCCTGACTGTGTGAGACAGACACCATGAAACGGAACATGGTTACGTCTAATGTCTCTTCCGTCGCCTTTGCTCTCTCCCTCATCCCTCCTTCCTTTCAGGGCTTTCCGCGTGCAGACATCGACATTCCTCGAGTCCGCAGCGATCGACACCGCCTTGCAAGTAGGGCTCAGCTCATGCCACCACCACTGCCTCTCCCACTACCTTCCTCTCTCGCCCCTTCTTGCAAGTAGAGTTCCTCAACCGCCATTGGAGTTCATTGGGTCACAGCTCTTGGGGTGGCCATGACTTTTTAATTTTGCTGTCAACACCTCATCTTCTGGCCTGTTTCCCCATGTATGTATCGTGCTAGCAGAAACATTTTTTAGGCTCTCTTAGTTGCCTGTTTTTCCCTGAGTTTGGCTGTGGATCATCCAATGCAATGCAACTCACACCATTCCTGCACCCACACTCCCTCGTGCTGCCGACCAATCGCAGCGCTCCACGCGGACCACAAGCAGCTGACGGGGCAGATTGAGTCGCTGTTGGTGGAGATCCACTCGCAGGCCAAACCCAGGGAGCAAAAACCAGCAAAGACAGAAGGAGCGAATTCCACACTTCCATCAGCAATTGCACCTGCAGCTTCTCCTGCTGCCACTTCTACTTCAGCTGCTGCTCCCAATGCTGATGTTACTGCAGCAGCACTCCCTTCCTCCACGCCCTTCGCAGTGGTGGACGAGGTGACACCTGGCAGTCCAGCAGAGGTAGATGGCGTGAGGCTGGGAGACAGGCTGCTCCGATTTGGCTCCGTCGCTGCTGCGGCTGCTGGTGGCGGTGCTGCTGCTGCTGACGGTGCTCCTGCTGGTGAAGTAACAGAGGGAAGGGAAGGGGGAGGGGGAAGCAGGGTGGCTGGAGGAGGGGCGGAGCTGCTGAAGCAGGTGGCTGCAGAGCTGCAGGGGAGTGAAGGGAGAGGGGTGAGCATGACAGTGCTGAGGGCCGGGAATGTTGTCGAGCTGTTGGTGACTCCACGGCGATGGGGCGGACGAGGATTACTCGGGTATGTGTACCTGTTGGTTCATGCTCTGGTCTGGTGTGCCTGGTTGCACATATATTTTGTGGTCAGAGATTCCTTGAAGTATTGTTTTCCAAATCGGCCGTGCGTGTGTGTGTTTTTCACCCTTTCCCCATGTCCAGGTGCCACCTCTCTCCATTATCACATGCGAACTGATGTATGCTTTTGCTTCCAAGATCTGGATCTGCATCCAGTTTGATTTGCTTATTGTTGTGCCAAAGTCAACATACTTCGTTGTACCATGTTTAAGAGACAATCTTCTTGTTTAGGGATGTAACACTGTTATCGGAACGCGAGATGTCTCTTATCGAGTCGCTGTTATCATTGTGGCATACCACGCCCAAAGGAATCGAATTTGCGCCCAACTCAACCGCGTGGAAACCGAACCAACCGAATTGCTCTAATGTGCAATCTCCAACCAAACGTGCCTCACAGGCCAATTCCGCTCCACGCGGCGGCCGCTTGCACCCATCACCAACATGCTTGCCCAGTCGCACCACACCACCCACCACCCTCCTCCCCTCCAACCTAGTTCACTCACGGTTCAGCCACATTCGCTCTCTTTGCTCCTGCTGGAGCCTCCGTGCCCTTTTTAGGGTTTCCTTCCCTCGCTCGCCAGGGTTCTCCCGCTCATTGAAAGCTTCTCGCGCACTCGATCTCCTTGAAGCGCCTTTGGTGTGCTGGATTCGTTGCTTGTGTCAGTGCACCGTCGAGCCGCTGTCCCGCGGGATCGTACTGGCCGTCTTCGCCGCCACCGCCGCCGTCGCCGTCGCCTGTCGCTGTCGTTGCAGTAATATCGTCTGAATCCCGCGAGTGGAGCAGAATGGCGGGTCCGGTGGTGAAGGAGGGAGCGCGGCTGTTCCAGGGCGTGGAGAAGGACTCGCTCGCCTTCAAGCTCATGAAGAACATGGTGCGTGCCGTGCGTGTTTCACGCTTTAATGGGATCTGATGCATGTGGAGGGGTGTGTTTTGGTGAGCTATGTGGTGCGTCGGATCTGCAAGGAGGAGGGAGCGCGGCTGTTCCAAGGCGTGGAGAAGGACTCGCTGGCGTTCAAGCTTATGAAGAACATGGTGCGTGCCGGTGTGTGTTTCGAGTGAGTGAGGGGCTCTGCGAGGGGCGTGTTGAGGGGCACCATGGCGCTTGAGGGGCGTTTTGTAACATCGTAAATACTTTCAGCATGCGTTTTGGGTGCTGCGAGGTACTGAGGGATGTGGTACGGTTCAAGCTCGTGAAGGACGTGGTGCTTGTGGAGTTGGAAGCTCGTAAGGGGTGCGGTGCGCCCTTCAGAATAGCGACGATTGCAGTGGGTTTCGCAGCGGGTTACGAAGTTGGTTACACAGTGGGTTCCGCAGCGGGTTTTGCAATGGGATTCGCAATGCGTTTTGCAGTGGATCTTGACATGAGGGCAATGGTTGCCGTGGCGTTTTGCAGTGGATCTTGACATGAGGGCAATGGTTGCCGTGGCGTTTCGTCCATTCGTGCGTTCTTCGAGCTAACAAGCTCTCCCTGCATTACCACGATTCTCCCCCCGTTCAGCACATTGTTCCGTGTCTTCACAAATGGCTCATCGCTCGCCGTTGATTTCGTCGCTGTGCTTCGATCGCAGGGCTGGGAGGAGGGCAAGGGGTTGGGGAAGAACGGGCAAGGCATCGCGACTCACGTGCGCGTGACGAAGAAGTTCGACACGGCAGGTACGCCAGTGGAGTGTGTTGAAGATTCTGTTCATAGACTTCGCAACACCACAGCCATGCGATGGGATCGAATTGACTTCTTTCCTCCTCTTTCTTCCATTCATCCTTCATCCGCTCCCGCCAGGCGTGGGGATCGCGGAGGCGAAGAAGGAGACGTGCAATTGGTCCGTCAACACCGCCGTCTTCGACGACCTTCTCAAGCGCCTCAACGTGGTAGGTCGCCGCCCCGCTCACCTGCATTTCGCCTGCATTTCGCCTGCATTTCGCCTACATTTCGCCCACATTTCGCCTGCATTTCGATTGAAGATCTAGGGTTTGCCTTTGGAGGGCGTAGGGCGACTTGTAACTGGTGTCACCGTGCTCGACGCCGTTCTTGCGCGACTCATCTTGGAGCGATTCAGTCGTCAGGGTTCACGGCTGATGGTTGGCTGTTGAGTCGACTCATCCTAGAGCGACTCATCTTAGAGCGATTCAGTCGTCAGGGTTCACGGCTGATGGTTGGTCGACCGGCCGAAATGTGCGCACACACTCCTTTTTTAAAACCCGTTCGTTTGTGTGCAGTGATATCTTTCTTAGCTTGTTCACACAATGCAATGCTGTTCGTTAATATCGTGTTTGACGTGTATTTCCATCTCTCCTGTCCCATCCATCCGTTTTCCGCTCAATCTATTTCCCCTCGTAACCCTTTCTTCTCTTTCCACGTCCAGGCAGTCAACGACGGCAAGAGTCTTCAGCAGCAAGCATCTGACTCTTCCTCCGACTCCTGTAAGATGTTCTGCTTTCAGGCTTTCAATATTCCCACTAGCTTTCATGCGTATTTGCGCCTGAAAAAGGGAGTGCAGCGCAATTGTTTTTTTGTTTGTTTGTTTGTTTTTTTTCGTTCTCTCACATCTCTCTCATCTTTTATCCCTTCGCTCTCTCTTTGTCCCGTCTCGCTTCCGTACCCCAGCTGATGACGAGTCCGATGAGAGCAGAAGCTCAGGGGATGGGGAGGGGGGGTTGAAGATGAAAAAGATGAAGAAGATGAAGAAGAGCAAGAAAGAGAAGAAGGAGAAGGAGAAAAAGGAGAAGCGGAAGCAGGCGGATGGGGAGACCGAGTTGCCGAAGCTGCAGAAGCTTGTGCGACCGCAGGGCCGGTGAGAGATGCAGTGGAATGGTGAAGTGGTATGGGTGGATGTTTGACGTGGGGGTGTCCTGATTGGACGATGCTTCCTCTGTTTTTTGAAAGTCATCATGCTGTTTTTGCATCCCTTTGTTTCGAGGCGTCCTGAAGATAGTGTATTTTTTTTCCGTTTTTGTCTCAAGCAGTCATCTATCCCTTTATTTTCTCTTCCCATCCTCTCGCAGGTATCATCGCAGGGAGGCAGGCAAGTGCGTCAAGTCCTACTCCACCAACGACCTCTCCGCCATTCTGGTAACCCTCTCTTTCAATTTCGTAACCCTTTTCGCCAGTCTGGCAACCTTAGCCATTTTGTTTAGCCTCTTTGCCATTTTGGTAACCCTCCTCGCCACTTTGGCTCTTCGCCGTTTTTGTACCAATTTTTCTAATCTTGTTATTTCGTTTCTCCCATTCCTCCCATTCCGCCGCGTTCCGTCATCGCACACAGGGTGCCGTCCCCACGTCGTCCTCCCCTGCGCCTCTCACTCCCCGCCTCGACCCCACCACCACTGCAACTCCCTCCTCTCTGCCCTTAAACCCTCCCACCTCTCCACCTGCTGCCAACGCGTCCTCTCCCTCAGTGGCAACAGCAGCAGGAGCTGAATCATCTACACCAGCAGCTGAATTATCTGCACCAGCAGCACGGCGGGCTCAGAAGCGGGTGGTAAAATCCGCTTCAGATACCGCTCTCTGTCGCAGCACCAGCAGCGCTGCAGGGTCGAAAAAGAAAGCTGCCGGAGCGGCTGGTTCGGGTGGACTGGCAGGTTCGGCCGAGCCTAAGAAGGGCGGGTTGTTGGAGTTGGAGTGCCAGAAGCAGTTCGTCTTTCCGCCGCTGCCTGCGGATTGGTGGGGCACGAGGTTTGGGTTTGTGCGCGGGTCAGGCTCGGGAGCCGGGCGATTGACAAACGAGGGAGGGGAGGAGGATGGGGAGAAGAAGGCGGGTTTCAGCGAGCAGGACCAGGAGAATCTCTACAACCTCGTGCATGTACGTAATGGTGGCAGGGATTCGGAAAGGCTTAAATGGTTGATGGTGGCTTCGAAGGGTTGAAGGCGGGCTTCAGCGAGCAGGACCAGGGGAACCTGTACAACCTCGTGCATGTAAGTCTTGATGCTGAGGGCTTTTGGGGGGTCTCCGGGGTTTCTGGATTTTTCATATGAATGGTTTGGCAGGGTTTTGGAGGTTTAGAGTGGGGGGGGGTGTTGGTTTGTGTGCGTGCACGCTTTGAAGGCTTGATGGTCTTTCATATGGCCATGGAGTTCAATCTGTCGTGCCACACCAGTAGCACATCTCGTTCCGTTTTTTTGTGGGGTTTGCAAGGAGAATCTTGTGATAACGCACGCTTCGAAGGCTTGATGGTCGTTCAAATGGCCATGGAGTTCAATCTGTCGTGCCACACCAGTGAGCACCGTCAAACCATGGTTCGGTTCGTCCCAGCCATGGCCATGTGCATCCCGTGCTGCTGCTTCTGGCTCCGCCGCCGGTTTGCCATCCCATTGGTTGACCTGGCACGCATGCTGCATGGTACATATGACCGTACCTAACTTGATAACCACATTAAGAAGAGTGCGCAGAACTTCAATGCTCGCCTTGCAAGTGAGTTTTGGGAATCATTGTTGGTTTTAATTCGTTTCCATGATGTCTTCCTCCTGCGTCCCCGCCCCCTCTCAATCCCCACCACCACTCCAACTCTGTGCTTCATAGGATCATGCGACGAGCGGCAAGCAGGGGTTGGGAATTGGCGACCTGCCGCGGAAGGTGGCGGGGGCTCGATGGAAGGGCACCAAACAGACGTTCGAAGACTTAGAAGAGGTCAGCGAGGGGGAGGAGAATGAGGAGGATGGGAATGAGAGCGAGGAGGAGGTGGAAGAGGCAAGGGGGGAAGAGGAGAACAGGGATGGTGCAGCAGCTGGTGCAGAAGGGGCGGTGTTGACTGAAACTGTTGCTGCTGCTGTGGATGAGGGTCGGGGTGATGGTGCTGGGTCAGCGGAGCAGGAAGGGGGAGAAGGGGGAGAGAAGGAAGGGAGGAGCAAGAAGCGGAAGAGAGAGGAGCGGTCGAGGAAAGACAAGGGCGGGAAGGCCGCTGCGGCGGGTGAAGTGGTACCGGGGGTTGCAGAGAGGCGGAGGGCGGTGATCGGAAAGAGATGGCAGCACAAAGAAAGGGATGTGAAGGAGGAGGCGAACGAGGAGGGGATTAGAGCAGAGAAGGGAAAGGAAGGAGAGGCAGGTGGCAGCAGGAAGAGGCTGAAGAAAAGCAGCAGCTCTGGTGTGGACCTGTCTGCCAGTGATGTGGCTGATGGCTTGAAGGGCGGTGTTGCGTTGAAGACTCGAGTTAAGCGCGCTGTCAAGCAAGCTCTGCAAAAGGTGCTAACATTTGCTGGTGTGTGGTGTGGGTGTGTGGGCGGGTGCGTGGGTGCGTGTGTGCTTGTGTGGATGCGTGGGTGGGTTCGTGTGTAGTGCATGTGCGTGTGTGTGTAGGTGATCATGCATAAGTGCGTGTGTGCATGTGTGCATGTATGTGCAGCCAAGGTTTCCCCTCCCCACATTTCCCCTTCCCCAAGGCCCAAAAAAGTAACCCAATATGATCTCCTTCCATCTCTCCTCTCTGCCCCTACTCACACGACCAGGAGGGCGAGGCAGAGTGGCTTTAGCATCTCTGCGGGACACGGTGGGGCAGCACTTGGGGCTGACCAAAGCAGAAAGGAAGCAGCTTGTCAAGTTGCGACCTTCCCCCACTTGCCTCCAACAATGTGTCAATGCCCCATCCGTACCTCATGCCATCTGTCCTCGCTGTCCTTACCACACCAGCAGGAGGGAGAGGCAGGAGTGGCGTTGGCGTCTCTCCGGGACACGGTGGGGCAGCAGCTGGAGTTGAACAAGGCGGAGAGGAAGCAGCTTGTTAAGATCATGGACACCAAGGTGGGTGGTGAGGGGTTTAGTGTCATCATGGAAAGCAAGGTGAGTGTCATGGGGCTGCAATGCAAGATCATGCACACTATCAAAGGTTTGAATTGTGTTGCCGTCTCTTGCTAACCTTCCCTTGCTTCCATGGCAGTATCAGGTGTTCTTCTAATTGGGAATGACTTCTTTCTGCCTTGGTACAATGTGATGTGACACTTCTGAACACTTTCTCCGTTGTCTTTCTTCTATGTATGTGCAGTTGCCTGGATGGACATTTCTCAGTGTGACTGCTGGCATGGTGCAGCTACGAGCTTGAATGATACAAAAGTTACGGGTGATTGATGAATTTCCTTGGCGCATTGAAAACTAACCAGTTTAGCTTCTAGAGTGTGGACTGGTGTGAAGACCTGTCCCACTATGGGGAGGTTTGAAATATGGTATACTGCTGGCTAAGCTCTGCTGATCGGTTATTTCTCCCGCTTGAGAAATGGGTTACCTTGATTTGTAATCATGATACATTGCAGCTTCCACTTTTAAGGACTCCTGAGATTTTTATACGTGGCTAGTGTTGGGCTGAGAAAGCCCTTAAGGATCTTTGCAGAGGATAACTCTGGGTAGGATATTTGTAATAGCGGAAGCGTTTAATGAAGTTTGTGAACCGACCTTGCACTAGTGTGTGAGAGCAAAGTGGATTAAATTAAACAAGCAAATACAAGGTTTTATATAAGAGTACAGGGAATACGAATGGATAGATAACTGTATTTGCTGTTGCGATCCGATACAGTGCGACTCGGGCAACTGCTCTGTAACGAGTCAGTTGTGTGTCCTTAACTGTCGCGCTGTAATTGTCGAGTCAAAGGTCGCTGACCTTTGACTTTCCCGTAACCTCCAGGCGGTTACCCTAACCTCCGAGGTTTGACTCGATGCTTCGATTCGGACTGCTTCGCTAGTGTCTTGGGTTTTGACACGACAGAAGCGCACTAAGACTTATTGTTTCCAACACTCCCCTTCGCTTCTGGAGTGTCGCCGCAGGTGACGTGGCTTTGTCCAGTCAGCAGCATGCAGTATTCGAACTTCTGCTTTCCGAGCTTCTTGGTCAAGTAATCGGCTGCCATCTCAGACGTGGGACAGTATGACAGATCGAGTTTCCCCTTTTCGATCTCGTCCTTCACGAAGAAATAGCGCAGGGCGATGTGTTTCGTCCTGTTTGCGAAGCCGTTCTTGTTGGCGATGCGAATTGCTGACTGGTTGTCGCAGAACACGGTGAAGCTGGGTAACTCGGCTAACTTCGCTTCTTCCAGCAGTTCGCGAAGGTAAAGTCCCTCCTTGGTGGCTGAGCAGAGTGCAATATATTCTGCTTCAGCTGAAGACAGTGCGATTAACTCCTGCTTACTCGACTGCCAGGAGATAGGACCGATAGGCTCGAGGCGGTAGACATAGCCGGTGCGTGAGCGCCTGTTATCGGTGTCGCCGGCGTGATCGGCGTCGACGTAGCCGATTAGCTTGGTCGGTGTAGTTGCGTTTTTGTGATAAGTTAATCCGATCGTCGCGGTGCTGACGAAATAGTGGAGAGCGCGATCGAGTTCCACCAGATGCTCTGCTTCAGGCTTCTTGAGATAGGTGGCGAGCTGGCTCGCGGAGTAGGATAAGTCGGGACGGCATGTGACTGCTGCGAAGAGAAGACATCCGAGCTTCTTCTGATAGTCGCGTATGCCGGCGGGCTTGAGTAGGGTAGACCGTCCCTTTTCGGTTCCTGACGTGTAGCGGTAAGGCGTGGAGATGGCGCTTGGTGTGAGGCTGAAGCGTTTCGCGATGGTGTCAGCGTACTTCTCCGCGCTTAGATAGATTGCGTTTTCTTCCTCGCGGATGTTGAGCCCGAGGTACTGCGTAACGGTAGAAGAGACCGTGAGCGTGAGGTCTTTCTGAAGCTCCCCTTCGAACCACGTGGCGATGCCGTCGGTTGACCCAATGTAGAGGAGATCGTCCACGTAGACGATTAGGAGAACGTAGTCACTTCCCTTTGTGAGGCGATACATGCCCTGGTCGTGCGGGAGTTGTTTGAAACCGATGCGAATGAGGCGGGCGTGTAGGTACTGCTGCCACAGTCGCGGTGCCTGCTTGATCCCGTAGAGCGACTTAAGCAGTTGACAGACTCGGTTGGGTTCGCCGTGGGAGCCGTGCGGGAGCTCGACGAAGATTTCTGCATCCACAGGTGCTTAGAGAAATGCGTTTGCGACATCGATTTGTCGCAGTTTCTTTTTCTTCATGGCGGCGACGGCGATGAGGATTCGGAGTGAGGTGTGACGGCTGACCGGAGCGAAGGTTTCGGTGTAATCTCTTCCGTGCTCCTGGTCAAAGCCGCGTACGACCCAGCGAGCTTTGAATTTGTCGATGGTGCCGTCAGCTTTCGTCTTCACACGGAAGACCCACTTTCCGGTAAGAATAGTTTTGTTTTGTGCTACGCCGATGGGAACGATTTTCCAGGTGTTGCGCTCCTCCAGTGCCTTCAGCTCTTTGTCCATGGCTTCACGCCATTTCTCCCTATGTTCCCCCTCCAGAGCCTGTTGAACCGTCGCAGGCTCCTTAGGAATGGCGGCGCCATGGACTGCGGTGACGAGACCAAGGATTTGCAGTCCAGTCTGTGAGTATCGAGGGAGTTCTGGATCCTCGGGATAAGCTGCTTCGTCTCCCACTTCTGGGTCGGGTATGAAATTTGGCCCTACCCTTTCTGCTTCGTTGGTGTTGACTGTCGCAGGTGTTACGTAACCATTGTCGGCGAAATGGTAGAAGACTTCGGCGTTGTTACTGTCGCGAGGATTTTCCTCATCCATGGGCACGTCGACGGAGCAGTACGGAAGAGGTCCGGCTTCCTCCGATGCGTTGTCGACGTTCTGCTCATCCCAGTCTGCTTCATCCGCTGCTGACGCGAAGGCTCGGTCACCACGAAAGCCACTAGTGAGGTCCCGATTCTCGTGCAAGTTGGCGAGGTACGTTTGAAGGGTGAGTCGTTCGTAGAAGATCACATCACGTGCTGCTACTGTTTCTTTTGTGTGGACGTCGAAGATTCTCCACGCGTTGTAATTTTTCTCGATGCCGAGGTGTAGTCCCCACTATGCCCGTTGTGAAAATCTTCCCGCTCGTGCTTCTGGGGGTCTTACTGTACCATGCACCCGAAAACTCGTAACATTTTTGTGCTGCCCTGCTTCCCTGTCCACAGCAGATGCGGTGATGCGTTGTTCGGGAGTGACGACGACGACAACAAGTTGTGCAGCATGACAGCATGGTCCATTGCTGCTGGCCACTGGTGGTTGGGTAGCCGCATGCCACGTAACAGTTTGCGCATGCTGTTCTGCAGGGTCCTGTTCATTCTTTCTGCAACACCTTGCTGCTGATGTGCGTAGGGAAGGGAGAGGAGTTGCTTGATCCCCCTTTCCGCCAGGAACTGCTTGAAGCGCTGAGAGGTGTACTCGCCACCTCCGTCTGACTGGAAGCTTTTCAGTTGCGTTCCAGACTCTCTCTCTGCTATCGGTAGCCAGGCGGCGAATGCTGCGAGCGCCATGTCGCGGCTGGGTAGGTTACGATGCCAGACGTATCGAGTGGCGGCGTCGATGAAGGTGATGGTGTAGTTGTTGTTGACTTGTCCTGGTTCGCGATTGTAGAGGATGTCGCTGTAAACCTTTTCAAGTGGTGCGTACGCTGGTGCGCTCGGGTTGTGATGTGGAGCGAATGGTGGATGAGGTAAGTCAGCTTCGGGGCATGTAAGGCAAGTCCCTCGTGCCTTTTGGAGTTCTCTGCCGTCGGGTAGAAGTAGAGAGTCTTTGTCAAGAACTCCTGCTCTTATCGTGTTATTTAAAACCGTGTTGCTTGGATGTCCTGTGCGTGCGTGCCAGATCTCTTCAGAGGCGCGGTGTTCGGGTGAACGTTGGTATGCGTCGGAGTTGGAGTAAAAACTGGCGACGAAGTTGGCGCTTCGGCGGACTTCACGTTGAGTCGGATTCAGCTGTTGCGCGGGTGTTGGTGGTGCTTCGTCGACTGTTTTTGGTGTCGTTGTTCCTGCTGCTGCTGATGTTGTCTCTGCTGCTGCCGATGTTGTTGCTGCTGCCGATGTTGTTGCTGCTGCTTCTGGTGTTTGTTGAATCGTTGCTAACGCTCGTGTTCGTTCTGCTTCAGGGATAGTGTGGGAGTACCAGAAACCTCCCGGGCTGAAGTCGGGGTCGAGATCCGGAGGGTGTGTCCAGTCGGTAAAGTTCACGATGGCGTCGCTGTCTGCAGTGCCCAGGTCAGGAACGAAGTCGAGGACGAAGACGTTGTTCTTCAGCACTGCCTTCCCGATGTAGAGGCCGCCTCTCCCGTGGTATAGCTTGAACTCCTGGGTGGTGCTGTCGGCTTCCAGGTGAATCCCCTTCGCCATCAACTGGCTAACACTCAGTAAGTTGTAACCGAGTCCTTCAGCGATGAGTACCTTTGACATGTGCAGTATGACATTTGTTTCTCTTGACTGAAGCTGTACCACTCCTTGTCGTCGTGTGCGCAGGTTTTGATTGTTGGCGACTGTGATGACAACTTCTCGTTGGAGTCGGTGTTCGCGTTGTACGAAGCGTCCGGACGAGCACATGTGTTGCCCGCAGCAACTATCCAAGAACCAAGTGTCTTGGCCGGACGGTTCACTTTGAGCGATGGCGGCGTAAGTCGGATTCGGGTGGAGTGATTCGCGGCGGGGCGTCCTGTTGTCGAGCTCCTCTTCTGGTGAGTAGTGGGGTGGTGACTCTGTTATGCAAGAATCGTTTATCTTGACCATGCAGTTGACTATGTTTCTTGCTCCTTGTGCAGGTTGTCCAGTTGAAGTCGTTGAAGCTTGAATCGTGGTTGTCGGACTTGCTTGTGTCGAAGCAACTTGGGAGCTTGAAGGCCGCAGTTGTCGCTGTGGTGTTATCTGACGGGACGGGCAATGCGTGCGTGGATGTCCTGATGTTTTGCAGATGTGACAAAACGGAGGTACTGGCTTCGGCTGCTGCTGTTGGTTGTTGTAGTAGTTGTGTCGTCGCTGAGTATGGAAAGCGAACTCCGGTGCTAATGCCCTTTTCTTGTGCCTTTCTTCTTGCAGGTCCATGTCCTGCTGCTCGGCGTGGATTTCGGCGCGAAGTGCTGCTTCAGAGATTCTTCCGTGGGCTCGAAGAATTGCTTTGGTGGCGCGCCACTGAGGACCGAGGCCACCGATAATGACTGTCACGAAGGCGTCTTCAGAGATTGATCCTCCGCATCGAAGAAGCTTGTCGCGCAATTCGCGACATCGGCTGATATACGCCAGCCCCTTTTCTCCTGGTTTCATTTCAACTGTTGTCAATTGCGCCATTAACCTGCTTTGGCTTACACAGTCTGTTGCCTGATACAGGTTCTTCAGATGGCCGTACGCGAGTTCCGCCGAGTTGCCGAAGTTCCGGTAAGAGCGAATGTTCTGCTGCTGAGTTGGTGTGATGTTTCTCAGTAGAATAGTATACGCCATCATCGATTGATACGTATACTGCTGCTTCTCATACTGTGTGCCGTTTGCTGGATACTGCAGGGATCCGTCGAAGAAGCCGAGTATCTGCGCGCCCTCCATCATCAGCTCGAATTCAAAGGACCAGGTGAAGAAGTCCTTTCCGTCGAAGGGTCTTGATGTTTGCAGTTTCAGGACATGCGCGAATTGTGACTGAACTTGTAAAGCGTCCATTGGTTTGTCTTGCGCAGGTGAAGGTTGAGGCAGGAAGCTGATCGATCCGCGCTCGTACGGGGCAAAGGTGGGTTGCTGCTGTTGATTCCCTCGCGCATATGACGATCCGTCAAGGCTCATGGGTGTCGCTCCGTTGTTGCTGTTGTGTGTCTGTGCAGGTCCCGACTGCTGTTGTTGCTCGTAGAAGGACATGAAGGAGAAAAATTTCTCCATCATGCTCTGGTCGAAGTCAGAAGGATGGTTCGTGGGGGTCTCGGTTGACGTTCCCCTTGGTCTTGCTGCCGTGCCTTCCTCTGTCTGCAGGCCAGAGGCTGGCGGTGGAGTAGGAGTAGTGCCCGAGGAGCCATTAGGGGAGCTCCTTTCCTTGTTTGTTGCCATGTCTTGTAATGATCAAAAAGTTAGAGTTTTCCCCTGTCAGCTCTCATACCATGTTGGGCTGAGAAAGCCCTTAAGGATCTTTGCAGAGGATAACTCTGGGTAGGATATTTGTAATAGCGGAAGCGTTTAATTAAGTTTGTGAACCGACCTTGCACTAGTGTGTGAGAGCAAAGTGGATTAAATTAAACAAGAAAATACAAGGTTTTATATAAGAGTACAGGGAATACGAATGGATAGATAACTGTATTTGCTGTTGCGATCCGATACAGTGCGACTCGGGAAACTGCTCTGTAACGAGTCAGTTGTGTGTCCTTAACTGTCGCGCTGTAATTGTCGAGTCAAAGGTCGCTGACCTTTGACTTTCCCGTAACCTCCAGGCGGTTACCCTAACCTCCGAGGTTTGACTCGATGCTTCGATTCGGACTGCTTCGCTAGTGTCTTGGGTTTTGACACGACAGAAGCGCACTAAGACTTATTGTTTCCAACAGCTAGGAGGACGCCTGTTGTTGGTCGGTTAGGAGAAGCTTGAGTTTGACAAACGATTATTTTTGTGGACCTATTTTTGGTGTGAACTGCCCCACTTAGTTCTTTATTTGTTGGAGTTACCGCATCGGCTGCTGAAATGTAACGGATTTGCTGATGTCTTCTCAGCAGTCGAAGTGTACGGATCATACATGGTCACCCTCGAGGCTCGAGCTGTGCTTCGACATTATCGAGACTACCCCATACCCTCACCACCATCGCCTCTGAGTGGGTCGTAATGTTCAGTGATCGTTTAGCACGGTGCAATACGCTGAAGCACGGTTGAGAGCAATTCTCAATCTTTACCACTTTAGACCATTGCGCACCAGCCTGAACCTTCTCCCTCCCATCCCATTTCCATTTTATCCCTACCCAACACCCCATCAATTGCTCTTTGCAACTGAATCTGAGCTGAATTCCCACATTCCTCCGCGCTTGGCAAGGAATCAGCCATGGCGTCGCTCGCGCGCATCCTCTCCGCAGTAGTGTTCGCGGTGCTGACGATGGTGCAGGCCTTGGGGCTGCTGTTCATGATCTACTGGAAGCAGGAGCTCGCGTTCACGGCTCCGCCCGTCACTGAATCCGACGGCATTCTCGCGGAATTCAAGCGCGCATGCCTCGAAACCGAGAGTGCGTTTCTTGACAAGTGTGCCGTGCGTGTTGATACCACGCCCTATCTTCACGCCACGGAATTTTTCGAGATATTTATGTCGTGGATGCTGTATCGTACTTCGAATTGCAGTCTTCGTTCCTCGCCTCACCTCGCATTGCTCACACGGCAATCGAAACTTTCGCATTGCACATATCCGCATGTTTTTTCTTAACTTCATACTCACCGTCCGTTTGTCATATCCGTCGCATCGCGTCCATCTCCCCTCGTCCACGTCAGCAGGCGACTGCCCGGTTCTCGGCAAGGGATTCTTCTTTGGCCTCGCCACGGCGCCTGCACACGTGGAGGACCAGCTGGATGACGCGTGGCTGCGATTTGCTCGGCGCGGAAGCAACGAGAAGCACGACCGAGGGCCTGTCAGCTTCCTTTCCTTCTCTTCACCACCGCTGTTCTCCTATATTGCTATTCTTTTCGTTTCTCAGGGTGATTTGAGAGAGAGAGAGAGAGAGAGAGAGAGAGAGAGAGAGAGAGAGAGAGAGAGAGAGAGAGAGAGAGAGAGAGAGAGAGAGAGAGAGAGAGAGAGAGGACTTAGCACCCAGCCCTCTTCCTCTTCCCTCGGCCCTCTTCCTCTTCCCTCGGCCCTCTTCCTCTGAGCCTATTTAAGGGCCCTTGGTGCCTTCTTCTCCTCATTATTTCGTGTGTTCTCAGTTTTCCGCGGCTGGAGAGAGCGAGAGAGAGAGAGGACTTAGCACCCAGCCCTCTTCCTCTTCCCTCGGCCCTCTTCCTCTGAGCCTATTTAAGGGCCCTTGGTGCCTTCTTCTCCTCATTATTTCGTGTGTTCTCAGTTTTCCGCGGCTCGCGCCGGCGGCCTTCGGCCGCCGCTGCTCGCCAGCGCGGCCTTCGGCCGCGCGTTTCTGGTGGCAAGACACAAAACGGAGGATCGGCTTATATAGGGCACGCACACACACAAAGGCAAGGAGCTGGGCAGGAGCAAGAGGCGCGGCATGCAATTCTACACACGGCGGAGGCCTACATCGTGTACGGCTCCGCCCCCTCCACCTCAAGCATCGAGCGCATGCACGCCGACAACGCAAGAAGGAGATGCGCCGACGACTGGAGCGTGTCCAAGGGGGTCCCGGCTTGAGCAGCCCCTACAAGATCCCCCATGTGGCGGGGGAAAGTACGGGCTAAGGGAGCTACCCCGGCGGGCGCGTCCGACACGGGTGCCAACGGCGACTCGAGTGATTCTGCCAAAGTCACGCAGGATCCTCGGGTCCCTGGACCAAAACTGCTCGGAAAGCTCCTCGTGGCCCCACACACCGCCAGCTGCAAGTTCGCCACCACCTCGCACGCCTCCGCCAGATTCAGAACCCGGCACATGGTCAGCATGGGGTCTCTCCCCGCGCGAGTGGGGAGAGGTGCAGTCCGCGCTTCGCGCGGAAACGCCGCCGGCCAGCCAGGAGTCCGGCCAACAGCCAAGCGCGGCGCAGAGAAGCCGGGAACCTGACGGGGGGTGCGGAACTGAGCCCTCCCCTCACGCGCGGGCTGATACTCGCGCAGCGTCGGCGCACGCAGAGGAGCGACCTGGCCTGGGTCCGCGGCGAAGGGGGGACCGTTGGTCACCTCAATATGGACGTGAGTCGGCGCCCCACTCGCCCGGGCCTGCCTCACCACCTCCACGAACGTGTCCGCAGCATGATCGAGGGCTGGATCAGGCTGGTTGCCATTCCCGCCTCGCCCTCCGCCCTTCCGCCAGCCCCGCCGTCCCCCGGAACCAGCCGAATGTGGACGCGGGGGGGACTGCTCGCGGCGACCCGAATCCCAGCGACGACCAGGCGACCCCCTCCCCCGCGTCGCCGGAGATCGCCGAGGAGAACGTTGCGCGGGGGATCGCGCTCGCGGCCTGCCTGACCACGAGGGGATGGGCGGCGAGGGGAGCGAGGACGTGCAGGAGAACGCTTACCCCCCTCCCCGCGCTGATAGTGCTCGCGACGCTCAGGAGAAGGGCGGCGAGGAGAGGGCGGCTGTTGAGGGTGCCGCAGAGGCGAGCACCCGCGCTCCTGCCGCGGCTGACCGTCCGGGCGGTTCGACGCAACACGAGCAGGCGCCCACGAATATTCCGGCGAGGCGGGGCGCGCGGCAGGACGATGGGGAAGCGTTTGAACCCGCTCGAAGTGGTGCACGGGCTCGCTCGCGGAGGGGTGCGCAGGGAGACGCGGACGAGGCCCGGCAGGCGCAGGCTGCGGTAGCGAGCTCTCCGCGGAACCCTCTAGCTCCGGATCCCGTCTCACGGATGGGTCCATCACCCCCGATCTTACCGCAGCCGACGCCAATGCGGCGACGAAGCGAAAACGAGACGGCCGCGGTGCCGTAGACAGGGCGCGAGGGAGCTGCTGTGGGACGAGCAACGCGGGGAATCCGCGTAGGACGCGGCAGCCGCCGCGGACGACGAGGCAACGAGAGAGGACGAAGAGGTGGTGGAGCACGAGGTTCGAACAGGCGCCGATCTGGTGCAAGCGGCTACGCGAGGAATGTGGAAAGGCTGATGCGAAACGGCGCGGAGGGCGACGTGGAACCACTTAGCGGAAGCAGAGGAGGAAGCGGAGAATGAGGAAAGTGAAGAGGGGGACCCTGCCTTTAACCCTGAAAGCGAGGGGATGTTAGAAGCAGAGGCCGAGGAGGACGAGGAAGAGTTGGAGCTGCTGCGGGAAGCGGAGCTCCCAAACCAGCAGGCCAAAGGTGAACCTGCAAACCGAACCTCATTTCGGAATCGAACCGCGGGGGGAATTCAAGCAAGGAGGGGAAATCGAGCCGCTCCAGAAGAAAGAATTGACTCTGCAACAGCCAATGAAAATTCCGCAGCCCCGAGTCCAACCCCCCCGATGCTCAAACCTGACGACCTGGCGAAAAACTCTGAGCTATTCGCTCAGGTTGCAGTCTGGGACCTCGACCCGCTGCGTGACAGTCGCCAACCTCCTCTCGCTTGCCACCCCCCCAAAGACCTTCGTGACTCCTTCGCGATCTGTATGTTGACGCCGTTACTCCACCTGGCGGCCAATCCCGAGTCTGCGCCAGGATGGAAACTACTGACCTTTCTCCCGCGCATACTCCTTCGCACCTCGTCAGCCCGTAAACCTGATTGGAGCGCGATGATGAATCGGCTCCTGCGATTTCGCCAAGGGCTCTGGGCGGACCTATACGAAGAAGCTGTCCACGCGATTTCCTTGCCTCCGCAGCCTCGCCACTCACTCGACACAACTGGAATACTGGCACGGGCGGAAGGTCTGGCAAAACGGGGTAACCTGTCAAAATCACTCCAATCCCTCCAGGCCACCCCTGTGTCACCTGCCTCACCTGAAGTGCTGGAAGCCCTCGCGACGACCTGCTAGCCAGCTTCTCCCTGACTGGCTCCACACCGCCTCGGCTGAAGACCCACCCACTATCGAAGCCGGCGACTTCAGGCGCCTCCTCGCCAAGCTCCCCAACGGAGTCGGGGCCGGCCCCTCAGGAACCACTTTCGAGCATATCCGTGACGCATGCCTAGGGAATGCCGAAGTACTCTCCCACCTCCTCGCCCTCTCCAACACAGCTCTAGCAGGGAAACTCCCAACAGCCGCGGGGGATCTTCTCACGGCCTCCCGCCTGCTAGCCTTTACGAAACCCCAAGGAGGGACGCGGCCAATAGCGGTGGGGGAGTGTCTCCTCCGGATTATAGCAAAGGCTGCCCTCTTCCTGACCGCGCCAGCCGCCCGTACTCACTTTGCCCCCCTTCAATTCGGCGTGGCAGTAGCAGGGGGGATCGAAGCGGCTATCCACACCGCTCGCACGTACCTGGAAGTGCACCCTGCTGCAGTGGCCTTGCAGATCGACCTCGCGAACGCTTTTAACGCGGTCGAAAGGAGAGCGGTGTTCGAAGGACTGAGAAACGAGGCGCTGAAGAAGCTGATCCCCCTCGTCCGCCTATCCTACGGGGCTCCCTCCTCGCTCTACCTCGACCACGACTTCGGCGCAGCCCCGCTGCAGAGCGCCAGAGGAGTTCGCCAAGGGGACCCGCTCGGCCCCCTCCTGTTCGCGGCAAGCATCCACCCGTGCCTCATTGCCACGGCGGCGGCACACCCTCAGGTGGTCCTGCTGGCGTACGCCGATGACATCACGCTGCTCGGCGACGCCTCGGCCTGCACAGCAGCTTTCGACCACCTCACATCCGCACTTGCCGCCCTCGGCCTGGTACACAACCCGGCCAAATGCGCGGCGTGGTCCGCCGCTCCAATCGACCCCTCTGCAGTGCCCCCGGGAATTACTATCTCTGATGAGGGACTGCAGATTCTCGGCAGCCCGGTTGGCACACCCCGGGGGTGCGCGGGCGCCGTGAGAGAGAGACTGGCAGTAGCAGCATCCCCACTCCCCCTGCTGGCCCAGATGGACCCCCAGCTTAGCCTCCTCCTCCTCACCCGCTGTGTCAGCCGCCGAGCCTCTTTTCTGGCCAGAACCACCCCCCTGGAAGCTCTCCCTGAAGCGGAATGGTCAGCTTGGGGGGAGCAGCTCCTACACACCTTCCTGGACTCGGCCCACATCATGAGACCGAGGAGTGCCCGGGAGAGGCGGAGGATTTGGCGGCAGGCGGCCCTGCCCGTGACTCTGGGAGGCCTGGGCATCACTGACCCCGCCGTTGAAGGCAGCTACGCTTACCTCGCTTCAGTGATCAGCGCCGCCCACCTTCTATACTCCCTGGAGGAGTCGTTACACCCTGCTGTCGCCGCGCTCCTCCCCCTACTGGACCCTACCCACGGCTCCCCGCACGCGCTGCCTGCACGCCTCGCCGCGGCTGAGGCAGCTCTCCCACCTGAGGCTCTCGAGGTGCTCCAGGCCGGGAAGACAGACCCCAAGGGACTGAAGCTGCAGCAGAGCCTAGCGCTGGCGGTTCACTCCCGCCGCTTCTTGAGGGCCATGCGCGAGGCAAGGCGGATGCGCCCCAACCCCCTTTCAGGCCATGCGCAACGGATGCAGTCGGTGCTAGGCCCAGGAGCGGGGGATTGGCTGCTGGCGATCCCGCTCATCCCCTCGCTCCGAATGGGCCCCTCCCAGCTCTCAACTGCAGCTGCCTTCCGCCTAGGCCTCCCCCTCCCAGTGCCTAGACGCTGTGACTGCCGCTACCGCACCACCTTCCCCGACGACCGCCTCCCCAACCACCTCATGCGCTGCGAGAAGGGGAAAGGGAGGACCGCTACCCATCACGCTCTGCGGGATGAGATAGCAAATATCGGGGCTGAGGCGGGTTTTACGGTTCATAAGGAGACGTATGTCTACTCACTTGTTGAAAACCTAAAGGGGGATGTCACCATCCGCCATCCACTGACCGGGGAGGTTTGGATGTGCGACGTGACCGTGACGGACCCGATGTCATACCAGGACGAGAACTGCAACCGAGCTCCTGGTTGGGCAGCTAGGGCGGCAGTGGCAAAAAAGGAGGAGAAGTACACACGGCGGAACACGTGGGTGGGGTTCCACGCGCTCGCAGTGGAAACATACGGCTACCCCTCGCCGGGGGTGCTGGCTTACCTGCGGCAATGCGCGGAGCTGGCGGCAAAGCTGCGGTTTAACGCAGCCCCTACCTCCTACGAAGCAGCGAAGCTTCTGACGGAGTACCGCCAGCGTTGGAGCGTGTGCCTCCAGCGGGCACAGGCCAACGCCCTCCGCACCAAGACCAATGAGGCCTTGGCGGCGGACGAGCTCGGTTTTAGAGGACCCATCATCCCTCTCAGTGAGGGACAGCTGCACCAGTTGATTGAGGCCCCGTTCGACCAGTAGGGTCGGACAGGGGGGGGGGCAGAGTAGGTAGGGGACTTGGAATAGTTAGGATGCCGGTTTTCTGTTGAGCTTGTGCTTGTGTGTTTTGCACCTTCCATTGTACCACCCCCCAAAGAAATGCAAGGACCATTCGAGAGAGAGAGAGAGAGAGAGAGAGAGAGAGAGAGAGAGAGAGAGAGAGAGAGAGAGAGAGAGAGAGAGAGAGAGAGAGAGAGAGAGAGAGAGAGAGAGAGAGAGAGAGAGAGAAACAGCCCGACCGAGGCCCTGGCAGATTCCTTTTCTTCTCTTCGCCACATCCGTTCTTATTCTCCTCGTTCCAAATTTCTCCTAGCCGCTAGTTACTTCCTCTTCTTGATTCGTGCCCGCCTTTATTCTCTTCAACTGCCTCCCTCGTTGCCTCTATACGAACCCTATACCCTTGTGTTCCTTATCACCTGGTCCTACTTTCTCCACACAAGCCCTAAGCATGCATTCGCACACGCAATGAGAAGCATCCACTATTACACTTATATAAAGAACAACTGTACGCAAGGATGCTACATTGCGAGCATGCTTCATGTGCCTGCTGACCCACCTCTCAACCAATGCAGGTTCGGGCGTGGCACAACGTGCCCAAGGCTGAGCAGCGGCTTCGGTTCTGGACCGAGCCTGAGGTGGAGGTGGACCTGGCGGCGCAAGCAGGCGTGGAGGCCTTCCGCATGGGCGTTGACTGGGGGAGGATTGTTCTGCGCGAGCCACAGGGAGGCAAGATGGAGGTAAGGGGGGTGGAGGTGAGGGGTTGGATGGAGGTGAGGGGGTGGAGGTGAGGGGTTGGATGGAGGTGAGGGGGGTGGAGGCTAGGGCATAAGGGGCATCTTATTAGGCTTTCCGTATGGGCGCCGACTTGGGGAGGATTGCTCTGCGGGATTGCTTCTCCCTCCTCTCCTCTCCTCTCCTCTCTTATTAGGCCGTCTCCCATCGCTTGTCCCTCCTCTCTCTCGCCTTTCTCCCTCTCCCTCTTCTCCACGACAGCTCGACCAAGCAGCAGTGGCGCGCTACAAGGAGATCGTGGCGCTGGTGCGGCCGAGAGGCATTTGATGCGCCCACAAACCCTCTTAAACCCTCCCTGTCTTGCTAGTGTCTCCCCTTCCCGCTTGTCTTCAACTCCACGCCACAACAGATCGTCCAAGCAGGAGTGGCGCGCTACAAGAACATCATGGCGCTGGTGCGGGCGAGAGGGATTGAGATACCCTCAAATTCTTTTTCCCCTTCTCCCTTCTTGCTCATGTCTCCTCTCTCCCTGCTTCTCCCTCACCCGTCACCCCACATGTCAACAGATCGACCACACAGCAGCGGCGCGCTACAAGAAAGTAATGGCGCTGGTTCGGGCGAGGGGCATTTGAGACGGCCGCAAACCTTTGTCTCCCTTCTCCTGCATTCCAACAGATCGACCAAGCAGCAGTGACGCGCAACAAGGAGATAATGGCGCTGGTGCAAGCGAGGGGCATTTGATGCGCCTACAAACCCTTTTGAACCCTCCCTGTCTTGCTAATGTCTCCCCTTTTCTCTTGTCTCTCACCCCACGGCAGATCGACCACGCGGCAGTGGCGCGCTACAAGGAGATCATGGCGCTGGTGCGGGCGAGGGGCATGCGCGTGATGCTGACGCTCTTCCACCACTCGCTGCCCTCCTGGGCCGAGCCCATTGGCGGCTGGACTAATGCATCTCTCATTAACCACTTTGACTCCTGGACCCTGTGAGTGCGGTGGAGTGCGGTGGAGGGTGGTGGAGGGGCAGTCAAGTGCAAGGGGCATGCGTGTGATGCTGACGCTCTTCCACCACTCGCTGCCCTCCTGGGCCGAGCCCATTGGCGGCTGGACTAATGCATCTCTCATTAACCACTTTGACTCCTGGACCCTGTGAGTGCGGTGGAGTGCGGTGGAGTGCGGTGGAGGGTGGTGGAGGGGCAGTCAAGTGCAAGGGGCATGCATGTGATGCTGACGCTCTTCCACCACTCGCTGCCCTCCTGGGCCGAGCCCATTGGCGGCTGGACTAATGCATCTCTCATTAACCACTTTGACTCCTGGACCCTGTGAGTGCGGTGGAGTGCGGTGGAGGGTGGTGGAGGAGCAGTCAAGTGAAAGGGGCATGCGTGTGATGCTGACGCTCTTCCACCACCTGCTGCCCTCCTGGGCCGAGCCCATTGGCGGCTGGACCAACGCCTCCCTTGTTGGCCACTTCGACTCCTGGACCCAGTGAGTGTGGTGGAGGATGGTGGAGGGGCAAGTGAGTGCGGTGGAAGGGCACGTGAGTGCAGTGTAGGAGCAAGTGGGCTGCGGCTTACAGACAGAATCCACCATGCTTTTGGCTGCTACTCACTCCTCCCCTCTCGTCGCCTACCGTTTTTTCTGCAAAGCCGACTGTTAGGCGTGAAGTACCTCTCTTTCAGCAAGGTTCCTCACCCGCACTCTTCCCTTCCCTTCCCCACCACACCCTTCCCAGGCTGGCAGTGCGGGAGTTCGGCCCGTCGGTGGACTACTGGGTGACGTTCCGCACTTGTTTCTCACCCTCACCCCCATTCTTTCCTTGTCCCTCTCCTTTGTACGCTCTTCCCAGGCTGGCAGTGCGGGAGTTCGGCCCCCTCGTGGACTACTGGGTGACGTCCAACGAGCCGCACCTAATTGTCATCCTCACCTACTGCATGGGCGTGTGGCCGCCCGGCAAGGCGCGCACCTTTGAGACGTCTCAAAAGTCGCCCACCTTTGAGACGTCTCAAAGCTCACCTACTGCATGGGCGTGTGGCCGCCCGGCAAGGCGCGCACCTTTGAGACGTCTCAAAAGTCGCCCACCTTTGAGACGTCTCAAAGCTCACCTACTGCATGGGCGTGTGGCCGCCCGGCAAGGCGCCCACCCCCTCGCCCATACTCTTCCCGTGCCCCATTCCCCACCAACCCACCCCACCCTCACCCCCTCCTTCACGCCCTCACACCCTCCTTCACGCCCTTCTCAGGCTGGCAGTGCGCGAGTTTGGCCCCCTTGTGGACTACTGGGTGACGTTCAACGAGCCGCACCTGTTTGTCATTCTCACCTACTGCATGGGCGTGTGGCCGCCCGGCAAGGCCCCCTCGCTGCTGCAATCGGCACTCTGCATGTCGCCCGTGGGGCAGTACAGCCAAGCCATGCAACACATCGGGGAGGCTCACATTGCAGCCTTCAAGACCATCAAGAAGGGGTAAGGACACTTGGAAGGGATAGCCATGAGGCAGCAGTGAGGGGGGGCTCACATTGGAAAGGGCCCCCCTCGCTGCTGCAGCCGGTTGGCGCTCTGCATGTCATCCGTGGGGCAGTATAGCCAGGCCATGCGCCACATTGGGGAGGCTCACATTGCTGCTTTCAAAATCATCAAGAAAGGGTGATTAGGATCCCTTGGGAAACGCTAGGGGACCGCTGAAAGGAGCATGCAAGTAACCTGTCAAGGCTGCTGCAGTTGGGGCAGCAAAGCCACACCATGCACCACATTGGAGACGCGCACATTGCCGCAAAAGGCAATTATAGGGCGCAAGTAGGACCCAATTGGAGTAGGGCCGGGTCGCTCGGGAAAGGGCAGGGCATGGCAGTGGCTATGGCTCATGCCACAGGCACTGCCATGCCACAGGCACTGCCATGCCACAGGCACTGCCATGCCACAGGCACTGCCATGCCACAGGCACTGCCATGCCACAGGCACTGCCATGCCACAGGCACTGCCATGCCACAGGCACTGCCATGCCACAGGCACTGTCATGCCACAGGTACTGCCATGCCACGGGCACTGCCATGCCACAGGCACCACCACGCCATAGCCACAGCCACCGGTGACTTGGAGTCGACTCAATGTTCGCCTCATGGTGCCTGTGGCTATGGCGTGGTGGTGCCCTCACTCCCACCTCTTGTCCCCTCTTGCCCCCATGTGTCCCATCGTGCCTTCCCCCCCCCGCATCCTCCCCTCTATCCCCTCTCCTTCCACTCCTCGTCCCCAGGAGCACAGCGCCAGTGGGCGTGGCAGCCAACACGGCGTTCATGACGTGGTGGTGCCGCTCTACATCGACTGGATGACGCTCTTCCCCTCACTGCACCTCACTGCACCCCCATTTGCCCTCCATTTGCCCTCCATTTGCCCCATCCCTTGCCCCAGGAGCACGGCACCAGTGGGAGTGGCGGCCAACACGGCGTTCATGACACCATACAGCGCTCTGGACGTGGTGGTGCCACTGTACATCGACTGGATGACACTCTTCCCCTGGGTCGACCACATCCAGCACCACCTTGACTTCTGCGGCCTCAACTACTACGGCCAGGTCAGCAGATGGTTCGGCCAGGTCAGCAGATAGTACTGCCAGGTCAGCAGCTTGTAGTACTGCCAGGCCAGCACCTCGTAGTACTGCCAGGTCAGCACCTCTTAGTACTGCAAGGTCAGCAGCTTGTAATACTACCAGGTCAGCAGCTTGTAGTGCTGCCAGGTCAGCAGCTTGTAGTGCTGCCAGGTCAGCAGCTCATACGCCGAGGTCAGCAGCTCGTACAGCCAGGTCAGCAGTTGCCAAAGCAGGCCGGGCAGTCTACCCGGACGGCTTCTAACGCATCCTCATGCCCTTTTCCACCGCGTGCACTCTTCCCCCTGCCCCACCCGTCCCCGCTCCCCTCCCCTCCCCACGCCCCCCTCCCCTCCTACCCAACCTCCCAGGAGTTCATGTCGACAGCAGGCTTGCAGAGTTTGGACGAGGAGGAGTTCTCTGAAACCGGTATGGCCGTCTATCCCGTCGGATTCTACTGCATCGCATCCTCATGGCCTTCCACCGCCTATGCTTTTCCCCCTGCCCCCCCTGCGCCCCTTGCCCCCTGCCGCCCTCCTTCTGCTCCCCTCCTCACAGGAGTTCATGTCAACAGCGGGTCTGCAGAGTGTAGAGGAGGAGGAGTTCTGAGAAGCAGGTCGGGCGGTGCACCTTGATGGCTTCTACCGAATCCTCCTGGCCTTCCACCGCCGCTACTCGCCCCCTTAACCCCCTGTCTCCTTGCCCCTTCCCCTCCTACCCCTCTCTCAGGAGTTCATGTCAGCAGCGGGCTTGCAGAGTGTGGACGAGGAGGAATCTTCCGAAGCAGGCCGAGCCGTCTACCCCGACGGATTCTACCGCATCCTCATCGCCTTCATTGCCGCTACTCGCTTCGCCTTTCCACCCCCTCCTCTCCTGCCTCTATCCCCCTCTCCCTTCTCCCAGGAGTTCATGTCAACAGCAGGATTACAGAGTGTGGATGAGGAGGAGCTCTGCAGGCCGGGCAGTCTACCCCGATGGCTTCTACCGCATCCTCATGGCCTTACCCCGCTACTACACCCCCTTGCCCCCCTTCCCTCCCCCACCCGCCTCTCACAGGAGTTCATGTCAACAGCAGGCCTGCAGAGCGTAGAGGAGGAGGAGTTCTCCGAAGCAGGCAGGGCAGTCTACCCCGACGGCTTCTACCGCATCCTCATGGCTTTCCACCGCCGCTACTCGCCGCACCACCCCAAGCTGCGCTTCATTGTCACTGAGAATGGCTTTGCTGACACTGAGGACAACATTCGCCGCCCGTATCTGATTGAGCACCTGCTGGCACTGAATGCGGCTATCAAGGAGGTGGGCGGCAGAGAAGGTTGCATTGTGTTAATCGGTTACTGGTCTGAGTTGACTAGAAAAGGCACATACACGCCCCTTCCTGCACGTACCCTCCTCTTTTGGATCACCCTTTCCTCTCCCAACTCACACCCATTCACTCCCTCGCTTCATTCAACATCTCTTCAACTCACCCCACTCACTCCCTCGCTTCATTCAACATCTCTACAACTCACCCCATTCACTCCCTCGCTTCATTCAACATCTCTACAACTCACCCCATTCACTCCCTCGCTTCATTCAACATCTCTACAACTCACCCCATTCACTCCCTCGCTTCATTCAACATCTCTACAACTCACCCCATTCACTCCCTCGCTTCATTCAACATCTCTACAACTCACCCCATTCACTCCCTCGCTTCATTCAACATCTCTACAACTCACCCCATTCACTCCCTCGCTTCATTCAACATCTCTACAACTCACCCCACTCACTCCTCTCTACCATCACCACTCACTCCTCTCTACCATCACCACTCACTCCTCTCTACCATCACCACCCACCTCTCCCCGTTCCTACCAAGGCATGCCCATAGACGCGTATTTCCACTGGACCATCAGCGACAACTGGAAGTGGGCGGACGAGTCTGCAATGTTCCTTTCATCACATGACCCCACACTCACCCCCCACTCATTCATCTCCACCTTCACCCTCCTCCCCTCTCCCCCCCATTCCCAGGGCATGCCCATAGATGCGTATTTCCACTGGACCATCAGCGACAACTGGGAGTGGGCGGACGGCTATTGCCCCAAGTTTGGCCTGGCAGGCGTTGACAGGGCGTCCCCAAACCTCACGCGCGTGCTGCGCCCCTCCTACGGGCTCTTCAAGGAGGTGAGTAGGGTTTTTCCAGTAGCAATCTAGCTTTAATCTCACCCGTGCGGCTTTCCGCAGCCTCACACGCGTGCTGCGTCCCTCGTACGGGCTCTTTAAGGAGGTGAGAGGGGCTCTGAGACGTGTCCAAATCAAATTTCCATACACCCTCCAACAAATATGGGGCGTGTCGGAATCAGGCTTTAAGCACACCCACAGACCCACCAAACCAATTCCACTCCCAACACACCCCCACCCCGCTCCCCTCCTACCCCCACCTCGGCCCTTCCCACTAGATCGTGGAGTCACGGCGTGTGACGGTGCAGCAGCGGGAGGAGGAGTGGGGGCAGCTGCAGCAGCGGGCGCAGCGGGGCGAGCAGCGCTCCTACTGCCGCGCTGTTGAGCCCTCTGGTCGCATGGGCGCTGGTGAGCGTGGGGGGGGTGCATGCATGTTGGTGTTTGGATGTATGGTGGGGCGCGTCGTGAGATGGATGGTGGCATGGTGGCATGTGTTGTGGGATGGTGGCATGGTGGCAAGTGTTGTGGCATGCATGTTGGTGAATGGACAAGAACCCTGTGGCAGCATGGCTGCTGGTGAGCGCTGTGGTGGTGGTGCGGCATGTCTGGTGCGATCTGTCAATGATGGAATGCATGAATGCATGGTCAGAGGCATGATGGGATACATGGTGGGATGCATGTTGACATCTGTGATCGATGGCAGTTGAAATCTCTCTGTGGCTGCATGCGTGCTGCCGTGCATGGTGGTGAATGGGATAGTGCCAAGCGAAGCAGCTCACTTGCACATGTCTCCTCGCCTACTATCACCACTCCTCTTTCCTCGCTCCCCCCATCCAGCAGACTCCCTTGACTCGCCCACAACACGGGTCATGGCCACCAAGGACTGGCGCTGTGGCGAGTAGGCGCCCCAAGGCTGCTGTGGCAATGCTTTTCTTAGTCAACTCAATATTTCTTCCCTCCCTCTCGCCAGCTCATCTGCTGCCCTCTCCTCTTGCCCCCCTCCCCCACCTGCCTTACAGACTCCCTTGACTCACCCACAACACGCATCATGGCCACCACGGACTGGCGCTATGGCGAGTACAGGCACCCCAAGGCCGCCGTGATGGTGACTTTTGGGTCAACTCAAGATTTCTCCCCTCCCTCACCTCTCATCTACTACTCTCTCTCTCCCCCTTGACTTTTGGGTCAACTCCCTTGACTCAATCACAACACGGGTGATAGCCACCAAAGATGGCGAGTACAGACGCCCCAAGGCCGTCTCAGTCGACCAAAGATTCATCCTCTTCCTCTCACCCGCTCATCTACTACCATCTGCTTCCCTCCCTCCCCCCCCCGCTCCTCCAGACTCCCTTGACTCACCCACAACGCGAGTCGTTGCCACAAAGGACTGGCGCTATGGCGAGTACAGGCGCCCCAAGGCCGCTGTGATGGTGAAACGTACGGCAAGGATTTTCCGCATCTGGCTGGAGGACCTGCTGCTTGCCGCCCAGCAGGCTGCAGATGCTGCCAACTCCCTCCTGTGCCGCCTCATGCACGGCCCTCACCACCAGCAGCACCAGCACCACCAGCACCAGCAGCAGCAGCAGCATCAGCACCAGAAGAACCAGCAGCAGCAACAGCAGCAGCAGGCTGTGGAGCAGCAGCATGCATGGGAGGAGGTGGAAGCAGACATTGAGATACCACCGGTAGTTGCTGCTGCTGCTGCTGCTGCTGCTGGTGCTGGTGTGGGTGCTGCTTCAGCAGACAAGGATGAGCTGTAGAAGGAGTATCCGCAGCAGAACCTGTTTGATTGCTGTGCTGCTGCTTCATGTGGCAGGGCAGGCTTGTATGCCGAAATATTGGCTGGAATTTGAGACGTCTCAGAATAAGTCTGTGAGCCAAATATGTATGGGGGACCTGCTAAGGGGGCTGGATGGCAAGTTTGCTATATGGGAATGTGATACCTGTAGGTGCACACCAAAACGAATGTGATGGGTTGCTGAAGCCTCTAGTGTTTTCCAGTATTCTATCCCCTCGTACTAGAGTCCTGATTATGGTGTTACCTTTAGGCCCTCACTCGCAACCAGAACCACTTTTTACCGTGTAGAAACTCACTGTGCCCCGACAGCTTCGATTTCCTCTTCACATTTTCTCCTGATCTGATTCCCACCATTCTGCTTCCTGAAGCCATGGCTTGGCTTGAGGAACGATCGACTTATGAGGGAGCTTTATGAACACGTCACACGTCCATTACAGCTTTCTCAGATTAACCAATTGTAGCTCGCCTCTTTGTTCGCCTAGAGCTGCTATTATTGCGTTGCGGCCAATAACAGGCCAGAGTTGAGAACTTTCTATGAGTTGGCAAGAATGACGACTTATCACGTCGAGTCGACGGCAAAGCCATTCCGAGATACGCGCTCGGCTGTCTTATTGATGGGCGGATGCGCCTCAATTCACTTCCGAGTTTAGACTTGAATCTTCTATCATCCCGTCCGTCAATCTCCACCTTCAGCCGTACCACGGGGCCTTTATGGTCTTTCCGTTCTCGAGCCTCAACGTGACTATATATGAGGGTAATCCCAGCCCCTAGAAATCCATTCAGTTTTGCCTTCCATTTACCTTATACTAGAAGTAGTAACTTGCTCCCTTGTGCAAACCAAATTCAAGTAACTCATGGCCTTCATTCGTGCTCGCTGCGTCTTACTATTTGGTAAGCGTTACCCCTGGCGTGAGTCCGCGGCACCAACGCCAGCTCACTACAAAACTCATTCGTTGCCAGCTGTCAACCAGGCTTCGTAACCCGATCTCTGATTTTGCCTCTCGTCGTGTGTGTGCTTCGCGCAGCGTTCCTTGCGGCGACTCTTGGGGCGACTGCCTGCGCCGCAAGGAAATCTCATCGCGGAAAAGGCAGGTGCACATTTTTCCGGTGCGTGGGTTTTTCTACGAAAAAACATACAAAAAGTCCCAGCGAGTACACAAAACATCCCAAAACAGATGTGACGCAAATGTTGGCCCTTCCCCACGGGTTTAAAACGGCCCTCCTCATTTCGCGCCGCACATTTGGTTTCACGAGTCGCACCTTGCCTCGGATCGCACATTTGGCGTTCCCGTGTCAATGTACACTGCCACCGCAGCGACGTCATCATCGATGTACACCGAAGCCCTTCCTTACTACATGTTCGCGAATGTAGTAAAGCCATCAGGGTACACCTATTGGGCACTTGTAGGGTTGATAGTTGGGCTGCAACATCCAGCACTACACTGTCGCCACAAAATTCAACAACATCGAAGCGGCCCACCCCATTTGTCAGCTGTATGAGCGTCAATTGCGTCCTGATCAGTGGCCATGAACACAACATATCATCAATCCTCATCAAAGATACCCCACCCCTCTCACTCCGTCAGCAGGAACCTGTTCAAGAGCATGACGTGCTTGTTCACATATGACTTGCACATGTGCACCACCCTCTGGATGCACTCCACCTCCACCACCGCATATCTTGTTCTCACACGTCCGGGAGACAGCTGCAGGCAGGTCGTCATTGGGCACGTGCCCTCCGCCTCGTAGTACTTCACGTACATGTGCCGCCCCATGGCGCCATCCGCGCCGGTTGCGCGGAAGATGCAGAGGCACCTTGCGTACCACTCCTCCTCGTCGGGGTTGAGCACTGCGATGTCAGAAAACCACCTCTCAGATGGGCTGGCCTTCACAAATGTGCTTTTGGGCACAAGCTCACCCCCTCGCGTTCGGGGGATCGCCACGGCGGTATGCACCTGCGTACGCCGGTCAACAGAGACGGAAGAGAGTGGATGCGTTATGGACTCTATACAGAGCTTAGGTCCTACCATCACACACGCAATCCCCGCGTTGCATCTACCATCACCCAGCCATCCAATGACCAACGTCATGCACCACCTCAATGTTCATGGTGGGAATGCCTGCCGCCCTCATGCACCCGGCGAGTGCGTCCATGTCGGACCCATGAGCCTCGCGATACGCCCACATCACCGCGTCCAGGTCTTCGTCAGCACGGGCTTCAGTGTTCGCACGGCTTGTGTGCACACAAAGACATGCACGCATCCAGTGAGGACCCGTTGTCACCACACGCTCTTTTCATCAGCACATTGTATTCCCGTTCCACACCCCTCGCCCTCACCTCGCGCAGCGCCATCACATACTGCCTGTTCCCGCCAGCGTCCGCCGCCACCTCCCGTGCAATCTCGCGCTGCACCTCCTCCTCGACAATACGGTGGGGGATGTCATGCCAGTTGCTGCCGCGGACCGGCACCTTCACGGTGCCCTTGTGTGTGTGCTCCCAAAGGTTGGTGGAGGTCTCGTGCGGCATACGACGCAGTGGTATGCCGTCGATCAGGTGCACGATCTAGTGCATGTTTGGGATGTTCCAGTTTGATGTCTGGTGAGGGAATGCGGCCTTGATGGCTTCCACCATCCTGCATGTGCACATGGGAATCATGGTCAGGCTGGAAAGACCATTTATGTCCATCATCAATACCATGCCCCACTACAAGGCCGTGTACGGCCTTGTAGTGCCGCCCTCAACGCAGCAATAACGGGGAGGGTACGTACTGCACTGCCCTCTCTCTAACGTCGTCAAGTGACTCGTTAGTATGCTTTGTCACGCCCACCAACGCCTTGTAGAAGCTGGCGTACGCCACAAACGCGGCGACCTCCCGTTTCCGTTTCAGCTTCGCCGGCGGCTTGCTCTTCTCCATGTTGTCTGCGATCAGCAGGGGCATCACCTTCATCCCCCTGTGCTCGAATGCGGCGTAGTTCGCCCCTGTGCTGAACCAAGTGGTCCCCCCCGGGATGCGCACCACACTTGCGCGTGTGTCCTTCTTTTGCTCTTTGCGGCGCCTGCCATGCGAGGAAGAGAGGGTCAGCAAAACCGCAATCCATACCCACCTCTCGAACTCACGCCGCTTCGGCTTGCTCTTCCCAACCATGAAGCACTTGCCCATGCATGGCAGCATTCCCCCGTCCAGGACGTGGAGAATGTCTGCCGCGCATGTGAGGAACACGTTTCCCCACGTTGTCTCTGCGAAGTTCCACCTCTCCAAATAGCACAGCCACACACAACAACAACACGCATATAAAGTGACGTGGCGTCACCACGCCAACTGCAAAAATTCATACCTGGGAGCATACCGGCACTGGAACTGCTCACCTGCACAGGGTGTGTGGACCATCGTCCCTTGATTTTCTTCACCGCCTTGCTGTCATCAGCCGATTGAATTGCCGCCATGACACGCCTGTGCAGCTCCACTGTCCGCACCACCGACTTTTGTGCCAGGTCTGCCAGATGTGTCTCCATGATGTAGCACGAAGAACACGGCCGATGTGAGCCTTGTTGCATTGTCGCACTAGACCGCGACGACTCTGGGAAGTCCCCCACCTGCCCAAAAAGGCAGGGAAAGGCCTTCACCACCTTGCCGGTCGCGTCCATTACATAAAACCACCACAACTCGGCTTTGCACATGGCAACATAGCAAATGGTAGGCATGCATGTCACAGTAGACCAAGGGTGCTGCACCGCCCCACCCACTCACCCTCTGTGCGCCCGAAGTAGGGGCTCGAAGATCACCTCCATGCACTCTTGGAATATTCGTGTCTTCTCCGTCGATGACGCCCACTCTGGTGGGAACGGCAGCACACTCGCCCCGGCTCCTGCCAGCGTAGCGCTTCATGTATGTTGAACCGAATGATTGAAACCGGCCATGCCGCCAGTCTGCCATTCCTCGAGACGTGCGTGCTGTCGCTGTACACTATCACACCCAACACAAGGCATTCCTGGTTTCCAATCAGCGCCTGCGTACAGTGTGCACCCAACCGTTAGTGAGGGGACGCACGGGGGTTTCTGCGCATTCCATGCAACCTAACATATTACATACCTGCGCTTCTTCCAGCCACTTCCCCGTGTCGGGAGTGCTGTACCGCCGTACCGTGTCGGTGTCTTCCGTGTCCACTCAAGGCTTGGTGACAAAGCCCGCAATGTGCTGGAATGCGCGGAGCAATTTCTTCACCAGCTGCCACACCCACACGTATGCCAACACGAGGTTAATGGTCTGCGCCATTTCTCCACCCGCAATGCACCCCTCGATTGGCCCTATTTTCGGGCGATAAACATCCACTCACCAGCTCCGTATCCTGGTAGTGCAGAAGCAGCGTGCACATCCTGCCTATTGGTCTGTAGCACTTGATGTCCTACGTCTTCCATGGGACCTGATCCCTTGGTGCCCTGTCGCGACCAAAACGTCTCACATCCACGAAATTCAGCCACTTCCTAAGAAATTAGGGTTCTGTAATATGTTCAGCAGTCTGTTCACCTCCCTTCTCGACAAATCGGCTCCACCAGCCTCTCGGAAGAAAATGTACAGCTCCACCAGAGTATTAAAGCCGTCGTCTATCGCGGACGTGACACTCTCCTCCCCGTCGCTATCCTCCTTGGGGCCTTCGCGAGGGTCGGGTTGATCGGTAACTGCAGAAGGGTCCACTGCGGCCCCTGAAGCCGAGTCGCCTCCATAGCTGCGTCGAGAACCCACGGGTGAACGGGGCCTTGCTCCCCGCCTGGCGCGCAGTGTCAAAATTAGGAGAAAGAAAGAGGATTGAACTAGCAGAAATGGGGATACAAATAGCAAACCCTAGAAGGGTTGTACTCGCTATAAAGCACCCCACTACAGGCTAGAACAATAAGATAATATTCTGACACACTCCCATAGCCAAAGTGGGGTGTAATCAGCAGAGCAGGCAAAGCAAAACAAG